CACCTAGTAGCACAGGCCAGTTTATGCCAGCTAAGCTTCAACTTCTGAAAGCAACCAGGGTGAGAGAGTGTGCTTTCTTGAATGACAACCCAGAGCTGTGACAGCAAAAAGCTGGTCTCAATGAGAAAAGATATGTTATTTCTATTTCATCGTTTTCTCATTCTTTATATCTTCACTTAGCATAGCAAAATAGAAGTAGTAATTACAGATTGTTTGAGATTTATACTACTGTAAGAGAAATCCAATATAATAAAAGCCTAAAATGCTAAGTTAGTCCGTTCAACCAGTTGCTGTGACACACACTGACCACCAGGGGGCAGACATTCTGACCAGTAGGTTAGCTTTTTGCTGGAGTCCGGTGGGTGAGATGGGCCAGACACATCCTGGAGCCCTCCATGGCCCCTCCCCAGACCCAATCGTGCACCAGTGGGGTCCCTCAGCCTGGCCTGTGCCCTCTCGCAAATTGGGTCTCTTCAGGGGATATGGAAGAGCTGGTTTCGGCCTGGTCCCCATAGGCCAGGCTGAGGGACCCACCACTGGGCCTCTACTATCTTTATAATACTCTTGTCTGTGCTTTTCAGATTGGCTTCTCATGTCCCATCTGAAAGACTTTATTCACAGCCTCCCCCTGGTGGCAGCACTGGGGATTTCTGATACCTGGTTTGGGAGATAATAACCAGTCTCCCAGGATTAGTTGTATATTTTCAATAAGATGACAGATATCTTGTGCCATCTATTCCTGAAAGTTATAACCGCTTTCCAACCATGAGTATGACTGAAAAAATAATTCCAATTTCCATCGGGGATCAGTCAAAAGATTAAAACCGGAATGAGAAACTTTGACATGCTTATTATCATCAGTCACCTCCTGTAGTATCAGCAAACCCAGGCTGAGCTCAATCCTGCTGAGTCTCCCACTTAAATATCTGACCCTCCCATCCTTCTTTCCATCCTTGTGACTCAGTAAAGTTCCATGGGCACTTCTGATGCAATCCACTGATCTTATTCACATGCTTCAAGTCTTAGTTGTACTTCTCTGTGGATGCGTATTTAGTTCCATGCAATTTTATCACAGGCATAAAGGTGTGTTCACTTCCACAGTCAAGATACGAAACGTGTCCATCACCACAAGGATCTCTTCTGTTGCCCATGTATGGACCATACCTCTCCGACCCCTCTGCATCCCCCTAACCGCCACTAATCTGTTCTCCAGCCCTATAATGTTGTCATTTCAAGAGTGATAAATAATGAAAATCACGCAGAATGTAACCTTTGAGGACTGACTCTTTTCAATCAGCACAATCCCCACAAGCGTCATCCAGGTGGCGATCTGTATCCCTGGCTGTACAATTTTCTTAATCATTCACTTGTTGAAAGACATCTGAGGCAATTCCAGTTTGGGGCTATTACAAATCTGCCATTTTAGTATTTGTTTTGTTTCCTCTGATTCTCATTCCTGTTTCTCTTGTCTTGCCTTCCTGTGGGTTACTTGAAGATTTTTTAGAATCTCATCTTGATTAATTGTATTGTTTTTTTCCTTTCCAATTTTTCTTATTATGGTAAAATACAGATAACAAAAAGGTTACTATCTTAACCATTTTGATGTGTACAGTTCAATGGTATTAATATATTCATAATGTTATGCAACTATCACCACCATCTATCTCCATAATTCTTCATCTGGCAAAACTGAAGCTATATCCATTAAATAATAACTTCCCATTCTCTCTTCTTCCCAGCCTCAGCAACACCCATTCCACTTTCTGTCTCTGTGGTTTTGACTATTCTGAGCACATTATGTAGGTGAAATCATACAGTATTTGTCTTTTTATGACTGCTCATTTCATTTAACATCATGTCCTCCAGGCCCATCCATGCTGTAGCATATTGCAATTTCCTTCCTTTTTAAGGCAGTATTGTAGGTATATATTGCATTTGGCTTATTCATTCATTCATCTATGAACATGAGTTGCTTCCACGTTTTAGATATTATGAATAATGTTGTTATAAACATGAGTATACAACTATTTCCTTGGGACCTTGCTTTCAATTCTTTTGGGTGTATGTCAGAAATGGAATTGTTGATAATTCTACATAGAATTATATGACAATTCTAATTTACTTATTTTGAGGAATGTCATACCCTTTTCCATGGTGGCTGTACCATTTTACATTTATAGAGCTTTTGCATGTATCACTGTATAGCGCTCCTAGTGGTAGATCTAGGTATTACAATATACATGTGACCAGTCTACTGGTATTTTAACATTTTACCACTTTGAGTGAAGTGTGGAAAACTTCCTTTCATACAGGTCCCTTTATCTTCCCTACTTTAAGTGTCATTTTAAAATATCAAATAGTAATAGTTATATTTGTTTTTTAATCATCAAATATGATTTATACAGCTCATTATTACATGTACCCATATTTCTGCTCTCTCCATTATTTTCTTCCTTCCTGATGCTCCAACATCCCTTCTTTTATCATTCACCCGTTTTAATAACTTCCATTAGCCATTCTTTTAGGATAAGTCTGTTGCGACAAAATTCCCATCATTCTTGAAAGGTAATTTTGCCAGATATATAATTTGAGATTGACAGTTCTTTTAACTTTTGAAAAGCATTCACTTTTTTCAAGCCTCCATAGGTTTTTTTTTGTTTTGTTTTTTTATAAATATATTTTATTGATTTTTCACAGAGAGGAAGGGAGAGGGATAGAGAGCTAGAAACATCGATGAGAGAGAAACATCGATCAGCTGCCACCAATGTACATGCCCTTGACCAGAATCGAACCTGGGACCCTTCAGACTGCAGACCGATGCTCTACCACTGAGCCAAACCGGTTTCAGCCAAGCCTCCATAGTTTAAGGTGAGAAATTCATTGTTATTTCAGTTGGTGCGTCCAAAATTTTATCTTATTTGAATAAATTAATAAACTTAAATTTTTAAAACAAATAAATCTCAACTTGTTGGATATGGTAGATTTGTGCTTTTTTCACTAAACTTGGCAAGTTTCTGGCCCTTATTTCTTTGATATTTTCAGCCTCTCTCTCTTCAGTTCCCTTCTGGAACTTTGATGGTACAAATGGTGTACTTTTGATATTGTCCCTAAGGCTCTGATCTCTTTTCCCCCCAGTAACTTTGAGCTTCATGACCTATCAGCACTGGTGTTCTAACAAAATGAATGACTCCTGTCTTTCCCTCAAATACTCGCTGCATTAAGCCACTGAAAAGGAACCAGCTTTCCCTTAACTCCTGCCAGCCGCCCAGGGAATCACTGAAAAACGGAGGGAAGCTCCCAAGCAGGTGAACTCGGCATCTTCGAACAGACTGCATTTTTATATTAGATAAAAATTTTAAAAATTTAAAGCAATATTGAATCTATCCACCTGGCATCACCAAGGAAAGCATTAGACCACTTTTGTTTTTGGGGGCTCGAGGACAGCGGAACAAAATCAAGCTGATAGGTTACCCTGAAGGCTCACCCTTTCCACCATTCTTTTTATCATTATTATTGTTTTTGTTGTTTAAGAGAGAGGAGAAAGAGACAGACAGACAAACATCGATGTCAGAGCGAAACAATCAGCTGCCTCCTATACATTCCTTCAGTCCATGAGCCATACCAGCCAGGGCAAGGACTGAAACTTTTCTAAGCCAGTAACACGTGGGACAAAGTATAAACATCCAAAGCAGTGTTTTAAACAGGTTTTGACCATAAGCGTCAGAGAAAAAAATGCATTACATTGTGATCTATAATACTACTACACATGTGCAGTGTGTGCTATACACTTGTAAATAAAGTTACACAAAACAATATTTACCCTAACTCAGTGTGGTAATTCTGATCATTTTTCTTCTACTCTATTTCATTTCTTTTAATGCCGGTTTTTAGCCACTAAATTGGTTTCACAATCCATTAATGAGTCCTGACCTGCTGTTTAAAACACAGTGATGTACAACACATGTAGCTATATTTCTTAAGCTAATTAATTTGAAATGGGAGAATTCTAAGAAACAAATTTCAATAGCAATATAAAAAATACTTCTTTTTCTGCACGTACGGAATGGGGAGCGTTGAAAATGGTTCTGGAGAGCTGAGTCCTAACCGGCTGGAACACAGGTAAACGTGGGGCGAAGTGTGCGCGGGAGACCGGAGCACTTACCCCGGCTCAGCCGCCCTGCGCGCGGCCGCGGAGGCTGCACCTCAGGGCTGGCTGCCGCCTCGGCTTCCATTTGCTGGGAGAAATGAGTACAAAGACGCTTGTGCTGGGGAAGAACCTTAAATGTCAGGTTCTATTTTCTCCTGCCAGGTGACAAAAGCACATCAGCATTTCCTTTGAAAATCTGAGCACTGACTTTGTTCCGATCCAAGAGTCCACCTCAATTAGAAGTTGGGTAAAAAATAAAGATTCACTAGGTCATTGTCCAACTTCCTCTGTCTCTCTTTTTTTGAAACAATTACTAGAATTTTATTAGCCATGGGAAGCAACTGGAAAATAACGAACAAAAAAATACATCTTAAGAGTTCCTTCAGTACATCATATATTTATAATTTAAGTATCGTATTTTAAACCGCTATCCACCAGTTCATAGGTCCATTGTCAACTAAACTCCTGCCACTGTCCTTTGGCTCAAGAGACTGTCCTTTGCGTGTGACGTTGGCTCGGTAACGGCATCAGAAAGGATGCTGCCCGGGGGTAGGATTACACCTCAAACGTCAGCACGGCTCTGGAGGCAGGTGCTTGTCTCCCAGAAAACTTCCACTTGGCCACACGGCTCTGCACGCCTGCCCTCACCCACCTCGAGCAACATCCGCACCACCAGCGGCCAATCCGGAGAGGGCCGGACTCCGCGGTGGTGTCTGCCCGCGGTGCTGTGCAGTCCGGGACGGGGACACCCCGTCTAGCGAGGGATGGGCACTCAGCCTCCCCTGGCAGAGAGCTTGTCACCGGCACTGCTGCGGTCCTCTGGGGTTCCCGACGGTCCCCATGGTCTGTGAGCTCAGAAAGTGCTTTCGAGCAGGCAGTGACACCCACACCCGGTGGGACACACCTCCTGGGTCCGGAACCACTCCATCATGTGGCTGGTGTGTCCCCCGTGCCCGCAGGTCAGGCAGAAGTTGGACGACCCCCGCACGGCCACGTGGCAGATGGCGCACTGGAACGTGAAGCCCTTGCAGATGGTGCACTGCGTGCCGCGGACCTCGCTCCGGCAGTGGCTGCAGTACACGCCGAACTCTGCGAACGGTCAGAGATGCCAGGACAAGAGACAGCGTCAGTTCAGTCCTGCAAAAGCAAGCTGGGCACTGCGAGCTAAGGAGGACGAATACATCTCAGGTCTCTGTAGGATCCAATCAGACCAATGATTGCAATTTTCTCCCCCCACCCCTTCTTAATGTGTTTTTAAATTGATCTTAAAGAAAAAGTATGGAAGAGGGAGGGAGAGAAATATTGATAAGAGATAATCATCAACCAGCTGTCTCCTGCAGGCCCTCTCCTGGGGACTGAACTCAAAACCCGGGCACGTGCCCTGATTGGGAATCAACCAGTGACTTCTTCTTCTTCTTCTTCTTCTTTTTTTTTTTTTTTTTAAATATATTTTATTGATTTTTCACAGAGAGGAAGAGAGAGGGATAGACAGAAACATCCATGAGAGAGAATCACTAATCTGCTGCCTCCTGTACACCTCCTACTGGGGATGTGCCCGCAACCAAGGTACATGCCCTTGACCGGACCCTTGAGTCCGCAGGCAGACTCTCTATCCACTGAGCCAAACTGGCTTTGGCAAACCAGTGACTTCTTGGTGGACAGGATGATGCCCAACAACTGAGCCACCCCGGCCAGGGCTAGACCAGTGATCTTCCATCTTTTACACTCGCAGTGCTACAAAGAGGAGCTGCCGTCACTCAGGCAGCACGTGTGGGCCGGGGTGGTGGCAGGTGCCTGGCTCTCGCAGGTCCTGGTCCAACCCCCAGTGCCTGCAGCGGTGGCAGCTGTTGTGTCTCATTCCCCTCCCCACCCCCAACAGGTGCAGGGCCTGATTCACAGATTAATAAGCCGTGCCTTCAAAATCCACGCCACCAACCCTCGGCACAGCTGACCTCTCAGGTCACTGCCCTCTCACCTCTAGCCTACCACCATCACTTTCACTTTCGTCCCATCTGCCCCCCTCTAGCTGCAGTTTCCCCTGAGCTCAGCCTGAATTACACAGCCCAAGTTTATAATCACTTTTGGGCAAATATCCTCAGCTCCTTTGCCTTCTCTCCTTCCACGGCACAACCTCAGGCCCGGCTGAGCCCGATCAGCTGCCCACTCCACCTCTGCCCCGAGCGGTCCTTCGAGACGGCCACACCATGCTGTGCCTGTGCAGGGTTCTGACTCAGTTTCTCTTTCACTATCCAGGTGGCAACTTCACACCTCGCCATATTCTAAAAACGCCTCCCTCACACCTACCTCTGCTCCCCTGTCACCTGGGCCTCTTCCCTCACTTCCCTGAGAAAACAAGAGCTTCCAACAGGGGCCTTCCTCCCTCTGCCACCAAGTCCTCCAGCCTCCCCAGGCTGTCCCCTTGTCCTGCTTCCTACAACAGCCAGTTCCTCTGCTTCCTGACAGCCTGCAGGCAAAAAAGTACCAATAAATAATCTTTAAATACACAGTAACTTCGGAGGAAATTTTATGGTGGCCCTACTTAGGTAAATGGTGAGCCAAGTTAGACTGGTTTAATAATTCTGGTTTAAAAATTGCCACGCCTTCTCTCTCTAAGCAGAACTTGTTATATTATGTGAAACTTCAGTTTATGCTCTCATGAAAAGCCTCATTCATTTAAGTTTCTTAACTTTCCTTTTCTGGTTTTATGGTTTGAAGGGATTCAACACGTAAGATGATAAGGGTATAAAAACTGTGTGTTCCAGTAACTGGAACGACAGTAACAAGTCCTTTAAAAGGGAAAGCACCTGAGGTCACTGTAAATGTAAACTTAATTATTCTCCACATCCATCTGGGTAACAGTATTAAAATGTCATCACTCTAAAAAATAAAACGTATTGCCGAAACCGGTTTGGCTTAGTGGATAGAGCGTCGGTCTGCGGACTCAAGGATCCCGGGTTCGATTCCGGTCAAGGGCATGTACATTGGTTGCGGGCACATCCCTGGTGGGGGGTGTGCAGGAGGCAGCTGGTTGATGTATCTCTCTCATCGATGTTTCTAACTGTCTATCCCTCTCCCTTCCTCTCTGTGAAAAATCAATAAAATATAAAAAATCCAACGTATTGTTAGTAATGTGCCTCTCTTATGTTTACGCCAACTTAAACATCATTTCTAACATCCTTATTCACTTTAAGACCTTAAACTAATATTCCATTAGAATAACCTTTGGGGCATGTATAACTTCTAAGCGGGCATACATTCACAAGGATAGAAAATTCAAAAACCTAAGTCGCTGAGCAGAGGACCCTCCTCTGTTGCAATTTTTTTTCTCTCTCGCCTCTTAGTATCACACAAAACGGAATGGACATTATAACAGCTGAGAAGGGTGTGGGGCCACCTCTGGGCCATGCTGGAGTGCATGTGAACTTTCTCCCGTGTAGGAGGCGCAAAGAGACATGAAGTGTGTTCAAAACCACAGAGCGGTAGCCCTGGCTGGTGTGGCTCCGCTGGTTGGGTGTTGCCCCACGCACTGACGGGTTGTCGGGTGATTCCCAGTCGGGGCACATGCCTAAGTTGTGGGCTTGACACCCAGTAGTGGGCAGGCAGGAGGCACTCGATCGATGTTCTGCTCTCACATCGATGTTTCTCTCTTTCCCTCTTCCCCTCTCTCTAAAAAAAAAAAATCAATTAAAAATTTTTTTAAATCACAAAGCTGTCCAGGTGTTTTTTTACTAGATCACTGACAAACTTAGGATTTTCATGGAAGAAGGGATATACCCACAGGTACAGGCTTTGCAGGTGAAATCTGGTGGAGACAAAATGGAACATTCCTGGTTCATAATAGACAAGCTAAAAGGCAGTAACAATACTCTGGCACAGAGAATAATAAAATTACGATTCCTGAGGTTCCCGGAAAACTCTGAAGATGCAGTGTCATAAGACTCTGGTTTGTTAACCATACAGAAGAGCTGTGTGTATTAATGAACATCACCTATTACACAAATGTAAATAAAACCAGCCACATGAATAAGACAACAAATTAACCAATCAGCTGAAGCAGAAAATTGCTGTGCAAAATTGAGATGAGCAGATGAGCACCTCCAGGGCAGGAACTGGGGGTGGGGGGGCGGGCTGACAAGACAAACCAATCACCTTGCTCAGCCTCCACTACAACCCACAGCCACATGCCACAGGGAACAAACAAATACAAATCATCGTACTTGCAAGGACTTAAAAAAAAAAAAAGCAAAAAACATAAGGAACTGTTTGACATTGAAACTGGGACTCAAAAGAACTGGTGGCCCAGAAAGAACTCACTACAGACTGATTCATTTGCCTTTCAGCATAACCATTATTGCTTGTCTCATTTTTTATTCTTAGAAGTATATTTCCAGTAGGACATGATCTCACCCATCTAGGGGAAATGGTGAACAACATTGACTGATGAACAAGAACAGACCCAGAGATAAGGAGCCATGGGTCAGACTGTTGGACCTCAAAGGGAGGGTGGGGATAAAAGGGAGAGATCAACCGAAGGACTTGTGTGCATACATCTGAGCCTAACCAGTGGCCAAGGACAACAGGGGGGTGGGGGCATGGATCGGTGGGGGTGGGGGATTGAAATGGGGGGTTGAGGACAAATATATGATACCTTAATCAATAAAGAAATTAATTAAAAAAAAAAACCCTCTGGCCAGTTATCCCTAATAAATGAAGCTTTGAGGCCTTTCTATAAATATGTACCCTCTAAATGTTAACACTTTATCCCTCAAATTTGCTGCCAATACAGGATGACCCCACAGATGTGATAAGCTTGAGCATCAATTGCTGATTTTCCACCCCAAGGACACCAAGTACCCTTGGTAACGTTGTATTTTCCTTTCACTACCTGCTATTTCCTGTGATTGGGCAGCCTAACTCTTCCAAAGAGTAAACACTTTAAGGTTGAAAATATATTTCTTAATGTTGTTATCTGTGAATCTATCTTTCACAGCCTTCCCTTTCTGAAATCTTATAATAATGTTTGTAATGGTATTAGCACCTATTATTCTTGAATATCATTTAAGTCTTCACAAGCTAATGTGGATTGAGGAAAAAGAGACAGAGCTTGGATGATTCCTAGGTGTTCAGCCTAAGCAGCTGGGTAGATAGATGGTGGTGCCAAATTCCAAGATAGAAAAGACGGGAAAAAAATTGAGAGCTCAGTCGGGGACAGTCGGAGATGATGTGTGAGATATCAGACTCTAGCAAGTAACTTTCTTTTTCTTTTTTTTCCAGAAAGGAAGTAGAGAAGAAGAGAGAGAGAGACCTCAGTGATAAGAATCAATCATTTACCAGCTGACCTCTGGCACTCCCCATCCTGAGGATTGAGCCCACAACCCGGGGCATGTGCCCTGACCGGGAATTGAACCATGACCTCCAGGTTCATAGGTCAATGCTCAACCACTGAGCCACACCAACCGGGCAAGTAATTTATTTCTTAATGCTCTTTGAAGCTTACCAATGAACTCAGAATACAATCCAAATTCTTTACTTTCTAGTTCCTAATTACCCTACTAATCTTACTTTATATATAAATAGAGTATAATTTATCATCATAATCTAATTATCATATCTAATTTTAACTTTATGCCACTCATCTCAACACTGTGTTCTAGCCACACTGGGCTCCTTCACTTGTTTAAATAACAAGTCATTTCTCCCAGCACGGCTCTGCTAGCTGCCTCTGCACCGGGGCTCCGTATCTTTCCATCCTCAGCTCCTCAGAGAGGCCTTCACAGTGCACTTCATCACAGCTTCTAAGATTCTCCTCCCTCCCTGCCCAAGGGCCTCTGTTTGCTGTTTAATACTGATCATCATGTTTAATTACTTAATTCTTCTCTCCCACTGGTCTGTAAGTTCCATGAGGAGACATGTGTTAGCACTGTGCCTAAGAGGAGTTTTAGTCCGACTTCCAATCAATATCTGAGTATTGCATAGAAAACTACTTCTGCTACAAGAAACACTGACTCTGGTCATGAAATGTTTCAGAAGCTTAAAATAGACTCAGAATGCTTCCGCAATTTCTGCTTATCAACGAGAAACTAAAACTTCATTTCGGGTCTTACGTTATGGATAAATTAAATTAAAGAAGCTTTCAGATAATGACGGGAAGAGAGTCAGATGCATATTCACCGATTCCTTTGTGAGGGTCAGGGGGACAGGAAACAAACTTCAGCACTTCGGCTCGCTTCTCTCTCAGACCCCAGCGATAGAGGATTTCTCCATAGCATTTTTTAAAGTCATCAAACTGCTGGGTATTAGCAGGATCCAGGAGCCTGGAAAAAATTCAAAAGATTTCCTGTCAGTTCCTTGAAGAAAAAAACGAGCCTAATACCAAATGGCACTTCGTATACCTTTCTTAACGCGAGAGCCCTGCTTCGGGAGAAGCCAAACGCTGTGCAGCCACAGCTCGCTCTGGAAGGCCGTTACCTTTTGTTTTTGTCATGCTGGTCACGCTCTCGCTCCCGAGGATCACTGTAGGTCAGACTCCCGAAGCGCATTTCTTCCGGTGAAGACTCTCCCCAAGGTGAAGATATGTGTTCTATCTCTCTCCCTGCTACAGAAAAGCAAATGGGAAGAAAAACTGAAAGTCAGAGAAGGCACGGAAAATATTCCATAATTACCCCAGGAAAAAAAAAAAAAAGCTAAGTTGAAGATTCTGAGAAATATAATTAAACAGAACTTTCTCTTAGCCTTACCTTTTTGTCTTGGTGTTACTTTTAGCCTGATAAGTATACATATAATGATTAAGCAAATTACAGTATAGTGATATAGTAGCATATGAGGCAGTCATTACTTATAAAGGCTTTTTAAATGACATGAGAAAATGCTCATGATGAGATTAAAAGCAGAACACATAATCACACATACAGAATGACCCCTCCTATACCCCACATACACAAAAATGGGAAGAAAATGTTCTGGAATGTTAACAAGATGTTATTTCTAGGTGGCGCAATCAATGATTACTATTTTCTAATCCAATACGTTCTGTTTTTTCTTCACTGAGCATGTATTGCTTTTTATAATCAAGAAAATTAAGATTATCTTTTAAAAGAAATTTTAAAAATCCAGAAACCACAAATACACATCAAATAGGTCTTTATGGCCATCTGGAATCGGGCTCAGTGTTATTCTCTGCATTGAAGAGGACACAGCAGATGTCCAGGCATGTGTGATGGAGGAAGGACAGGGCTAGGTTTTGAAGGTGGATACTGGGAAGTCTCCTGTCAGCTTCTCAAGGTCATTGGATGTAAAGCAACTCAGCAAGGCACAAAGCCTTCCCAAAATCTGGCCTGTTCAAACACAAAGGTCCAGCCAAAACCAGATTGGCTCAGTGGATAGAGCATTGTCCTGCGGACTCAAGGTTTTGATTCTGGTCAAGGGCATGTACCTTGGTTGCGGGCACATCCCCAGTAGGGGGTGTGCAAGAGGCAGCTGATCGATGTTTCTCTCTCATCGATGTTTCTGACTTTCTATCCCTCTCCCTTCCTCTCTGTAAAAAAAATCAATAAAATATATTTAAAACAAACAAACAAACAAAAAAACATGAAGGTCCAGGCCTTGCCGACTACAATATCGCCATCATAGGAAAGATCAAGAAAAGTGAGAAACAAAAGAAAACAGAGACTATCCATCAACTAAGGATTACATGTTTTTAACGACTCACAGGCAGCTCTTAGAGACTAAACACCCAGCCTGGACTCAGTCAGGTTCGTACCAACCTATGTTCCAGCCACTGGTGATGAGCCCGGGGTCTGACATGCTTGAGCAGGAACCAGAGGAGGTGAAGCTGGGCTGCAGAACAAACAGGGGCGGCATCAGACACCACCCACCATGAAGGTTTACCTTTAGAACACGCCAGACACAAACCAGAAAATCGCAAGCTTACGTATCGACTGTGGGACACCACCAGGTTAGAAGAACGACTGGGAAAAGGCCCAAAAGGGTTTGGTATCCCCTGAGGCCTGGACTGGGCTTCAAACACACTGCAGAGCATGGCCAGCGTCTGCACATCCCGGAGCTGGCAGTAATGAGCCAACCTGGAAAGGAAGAGGCGAGAGAGAGAAAACAAGTCAACAGAAGAGATGGAGGAAGGATGCTAGCACAATCATGGCGGTGGTTGCCATAGGAATAGGGGAGAGGGGATGCTCAGTTCCTCCTCAAAAACCCTTGTCAGGTACCAGGGCTTTTTATAGATCCAGAGGCTTGATCTACTTGGAGTTTGGCTAAATCTGCTCTGGAATAAAATATATCGAAGTATTACAGATGACCTAGAATACTAATCTGAAAGCTTGTAGCTGGCACCAGGCACAGGCTCTGACTGGAACAAAGCTTCTCCGAGAACTAAGCAGACTAAGGTGACATCTGAGTGAGGACATCCATGTGGCCTCCCAACGCCAGGACAGAACCCTGCTTCCTGGGGGTTCCTCGAAACTTTGTTCAAGTAACCCATGGCTTTGTGAAGGCGCTCCGAGAGCACTCCCCCCACAGGACGGCAAGCATGCACTCGTCAACTCAAGAGGGGGAGTCAGGAAAAGTGAGCTATTAAATAAGAACAACAGCCGAAACCGGTTTGGCTCAGTGGATAGAGCATAGGTCTGCGGACTGAAAGGTCCCAGGTTCGATTCCGGTCAAGGGCATGTACCTTGGTTGCAGGCACATCCCCAGTAGGGGGTGTGCAAGAGGCAGCTGATTGATGATTCTCATCGATGTTTCTAACTCTCTATCCCTCTCTCTTCTTCTCCGTAAAAAAAAAAAAAAAAAAAAAAAAAAAAATCAATAAAAAAAAAATAAGAACAACAAGGAACAGCTTCACTTGTAGGTACTCACATCCTCTTTGCCCCTTTTAGGACGACTGGGCTAGAATGTAAGGTAGGAACCGGGGGCATGGCCTTTGCGATGGAATAATATTGATACTTTCCTACCGAGCAATGTCTAATGTTTTTTAAGGTGCTTCACGCTCATTATCCTAAGTGAGCCTTACATGAAGTGTGAGCAAGCATTATCATCCCTGCGCTACTCAGAGACAACTCAAGTGTGAACACATGTTGTCCCAGGTCTGGCCTCAACCAGAAACTAAGCAAACCTTCCCCTAAAAAAAAGCAGAGATTTTCTGTTTCTCTCTCAGGACCTGGGCTTCACTGTTATGGAGATCCAAGAGGCTTACCTGGTTGTAAACCATGGGCACGTTTTATTTCTAGTATGCCATATTCAGTGCAATAAGTCAAAAACAAATTCAGTGTTTTCCCAAACTGTCTAACAGGGTGAAAGCATGATGACCCCTGGAAAACAGGAAACCCACTGTGCAATTCTTCAATCTGTTCTTGGGGCGAAGCTCCACAGCACCCACAAAACTGACCATCTCAAGAGCTCAAACTCCTGTGTTCGGACTGACGTCACTTATGGGCTTAAGCTTCAAAAGGACTCATGAGTCTCACATCCTTGTGAGAGATGACAAATGATGCATAGTTCCTTCTGCTGTAAAAAGTTAGTTGGCACAGAATTATTGCGGCACAAAAAGGAGAGCTCTCGCTTCCTCCACCTCTCACTCCTCGGGCCTCTGCACTTTCCTCTTAGACAACAAGTTTGAAAGTGTTGACAGACTTAAAATGTACGTCACTCTTTTCCTCACTTTCAGCTCTCAAAACCTACAGTGACTCCAGCAGCTGCCGCCCGAAGGGATGCCGAGCCCAGGGTGTTTCCAAATCTGGATCAGACTTCGGACCAAGGCAAAGATCTGTAGCTACTGTAGCCAGTGACCACACCTGGACAAATCAAGAGAAACACCCAAAGTCAGACTGGTGAGGACAGGAACAGGAAGCATGAGAGCATCCCATCTCTCCTCCCCGTACGTCCCACCCTTGCTCCTCTGAGAGCTGCAAAGCTGAAAGCTTACAGAAACACAGAATTGTAGGCCGGTGTGGCTCAGTGGTTGTGTCAACCTATAGCCAGGAGATCACGGTTTGGTTCCCAGTCAGGGCACATGCCCAAGTTGTGGGCTCAATCTCTAGTGTGGGGCATGCAGGAAGCAACCAATCAATGATTCTCTCTCAACATTCATTGATGTTTCTCTCTCTCCCTCTCTGAAATCAATAAAAATATTTTTTTTTAAATACACTTTAGGAGGTAATACTTCCTCAGAGAATTTTTTTCAGAGCATGAACATTGGGTCTGCCTTAGCACTGCATTTACCAATCTTCCCACCAACCCTATGAGGTAATTATTCTTATGGTTCCCATTTCACAAATACAGGGGGGGCAAAAGTGACTTACAGTTGTTTGTATGGAAAATTATACAATAATTAATAAATAATACAAGAATAAGCTGTGTTTCACAGTTTCACAACTGTAAAATTACTTGTACCCCACCTGGATACAGAGGCTGAGAGAGTCCGGGATTACATCACTACGGTGATGAGTTACACCTGTGCCTCCTGTTATACATTCCACAATGTTTCTACTTCTTTATTTGGCTTCTTCACGGGACTTTAGGTACCGCAGCTAAATTCTTATAGAGATAGATCATATTCACCTAACAGGGTTTGGGCAAAAACTTTACAGTATTTATTAGGAGACAAATGGAAATCCTAGGGGTTTTCTACAAATAGAAATCAAGGGAAGGCCTTAGCTCGGGTCATTTGGAGAGTTATAAGGGGAAAAAACTGAGTGGACAGGACAACAGCTAGTCGTTTCCATTGCTCAATCTAATCCTCGCACTAAGGAATAAAGGTGCAACAGAGACAGAGTGGATCAGTGGTGGCCTAGGGCTGGGTGAGGGAGAAGGATTGAGAGCTAGGGTAATGAAAATGTTCTGAAAGTATTCGTGGTGATGGTTGCAAAACTCTGTGACTATACTAAAAGCCATTAGATAGTACGTTCTAAATGGTGAATCACATGGTGTATGGACTATATTCTCAATAAAGCTGTTAAAAAAACAACAAAGGAGCAGCTTGTTTTAATATACTGATGTGCTCCTGCAAAAAAATGGAAGATTTAAATTTTTATAAGATCACATTGTATTTTAAAACAGAACATGTCTATTATAAAGAAATGTTTTTGTAATGAAATGAAGTACTTATGAAATGAAGTACTTTTTAAAGTAAAAAGGAAACTATAAATGGTAAAGATCAGATCCCTAAATCTGGTATGCAACCATCACCACAGTACTACTAGTAAAACAGAAAAGAGATGCAATAAAAAATAGCAAAAGCTTTAGGATCCTCTCAACTAAGCTCTATTAAGAAAAGCATCCGAGGGATTTAGAAAGCTACTTTGTCCTTTAGTTGGCAAAGAAAATGGGAGAGAAGCTGAAAAATAGGAGACACCATGAAATATCACTAAACCACACCTACAAAGGGAAGACACCTGCTGGGGGTGAGGGGGGAATCCCAGATTCCAGCAAAGGGGACGGACATACCTGGACAAGATCCTTCCTTCCAACAAGCAAGGCAGAAGTGGCGTTCTTCTGACACGTTTCTTGAATATCATTTACATTTAATCTGAAATGTAAAAAAAGAATCAAAGAGTTCCTTTCTGATCTAACTTCCTAAATCAATTACTCCTTGTTTAATGAACAGACTGAAAATTGCCTCTCTGGTTGTCACCAAAATGTTTTCTTTGTGCTGGCCTAAAGATCCCTTTGCATGGAAGAAGAAAATGCTTAGCTAGCAGCCGAGGTGATGCTGTGGGCTCAGGCCTGGGGAAGGTGAAATCGCTCACCTCTTTGAAGCCAGAAGAGGAGGCCAGACTCAAAAACCAATGTGCTGGCCCAGCCAGGTGGCTCAGTGGGTTAGAGCATTGTCCCGATACGCCAAGGCTGCGTGTCAATTCCTGGTCAGGGCACATACAATAACCAGCCAATGAATGTGTAGATAAGTGAGACAACAGATCTCTCCCTCTCTCTCTCAAGTCAGTGTGTGTGTGTGCGCGGGGGGGGGGGGGGGGGGGGGGGGGGGGGGGTGGAGACAGACATCATTGCTAACCTGCTTAGCTACGAAGTTCCCCAGACTTGAGAGTTGACTAAAAATGGATTAAAAGACATACAACACCGCAGTTTCTAACACAGAGAGTGGTATGCTGTGCATATACTAGAAAATGAATATTTCTGTCATGTGTTCAGGCTCGGAAGAAGGGGAAGCAGAGGCCGGCCTCCGTATGCTTGTCACTCACCTCCCACCTCCCTTCAGCCAAAGTGGCTCTGCTCCATCTGTTTTCCTGATTGGGCCTGGGAGGCAGAACTCTGAGGCTGCTCCCAAACATTTCTGCTCCCTGTTATAAGTACTTTGTAAGTTCCTCCCTTTAAGTGGGGTGAGTCCAGTGAATACTGAGGGGATGTCACTCCCACAATTAGGTTGTTGCCAATCAGTTGACTATGAATTGGTCAAAAGGGAGATTACCCTGAGTGAGCCTGACCCACTCAGGTGACACCTTAGAAAGAAGGTGAAGTGACAGCGAGACGCTCCTGCTGGTCTCGAACAAGGTGAAACTCACCTCGCTTAACGGCTGCGAGAAACCGAATTCTGTGCCAACCTGCATGACCGGGAGAGGACCTGAGCATTAGACAGGCGCACCGTCTGGTCAACTCCAGGACTGCAGCCTGCTGAGACCTGGGCAAGGACCCAGCTGGGCCATGCCCAGGCTCCTGACTAAGGAAACTGTGAGGTAATGAGTGGATGTTGTTTTAAGCCACCAAGTTTGTCGTAATTTGTTATGCAATAATAGGAAGCTAATATGCTGGGCGACTCCTAAAACTGCTTTTGAAGAAAGGGTTCCGATACTTAAAAAAAAAAAAAAATTTTTAATAAAAATTGGGGGGAGGGGGAACCCTTTGATAATCACAACTAAATGATAGGCTGGCACACTTAAAACCTCAAACTCACATGTACAGCTCTCCCAGTGACTTGTGAACAGGAAGGAGGCACGCAATATCCTGGATGACCACTTTCCCAGCAGCCTTGATTGGTCGGTTGCCAGAGTCTGATCCCTCGCGCTTGCTTTTCCATCTCCTTGATTTCTGGGGAGGGGGATGACAAGATGTCACTAATAGGGACTTTGCTGAGTGGAAACCTCTAGTTGCAGAGCACATCATTGTTGGGTCATTGGTAATTTGCAGAGACTTTGCATTACAACATCATGCCCATAATTATATGAATCAGCATCTATAGGAAATGAAAGGATAACAAAGGGCATTGAGCTCTTGGTCCAAAATCCTAACAGGAGAACAAGCACCCACTGCAGAGCTGTGCTCAAAGACAGACACCTTGAAGCCAGAATTTTTAAAATAAGGAAGAAAAAGAACAGCAGGTAAAGAAGTTAGTAAAGACCACAAAAATGTGGGAAAAGAGCAACTTTTAAAGCTGGGTTCAACCCTAGGTTCTAAGTTGCTGTATTTTTTTTTTCCATCCTAAGAAAGTTTTAATAGGATCTGTTGAGAATTTAATCCAGTGTGGGCTCTACAAATTTTAATCTATGGCAGGCAGGCAGACAGAAAAACTTAGCAGCTCAAGGAGAATTGCCTTGTTTTTCCTGGCAGACGTGAACCATTTCTAAAAGTGATCATTTTTAGAATGTCAAAAACGCTTGGGCAGAGGGACGTGAGTAATGGACATGGAAGATCATGAGCAACCATCTTATTTCCCCAGAGCCTCACTACATAGGAGCCTGGATGTGGGAAATGAGAGATAGCTGAGAAAATGGGAATTATTAGAGAGCAGCGCCATCTGGTATCTTCAAAATGACAGCCCGCCAAGGGAGTGATATTCTATTTCAAGTTATTGCCAGAAATTAAAAAGGGGGCCACTAAAGTGACTCAGCTAAGGAGGAAGGAGGGAGACATATTTATTAACAAAGGGTGCAAAAGGAGCCTTTCTGAAAGAGCCTGCAATTTGGAATCAGAAAACCAAGGTTTATTGGCCTTTTTGCCACGTGTACTGATTCAAGGTGACCTTGGGCGAATTTGCTGTGAATTTAATCTCATGCTAGTCTCCTTTTATTCACGGATGGCTCGGGATGAGCTCTGTTGTTCCACTCTCCCAAGGTTAATACGGGCACAATGAAAAGTGAGTAAACACTCTGTAGATTCAAAGAGTACAATTTTAAAATCTATAATTTTTATGAATGCGAATAAACCTTCAGAAATGCAATTGGATCATTTTTAGATCACTCACAAATTAATTCTCCACAAGTGATTTTTATACAATCACCCTTCCATAAGTTAGCCAAGGTCTATGCTAGGACATCTCTGAACCCTGATGGCCCGTCTAACCCCAAAGTTGCCCAATGATGTAACTTCCTATGGGGTTAGTAAGTGTTATGGAGCTATTAAATCTAGGACACCTGGACTTAGTTCATGGACAGCAAATGAAAAAGATTAACTGAAATACTTGGACTGCTTGTCATAACTGGTAAATATAGAGGCTACATTATCATTTTGGACCTTAACCCATTTGCTCTGAAGAAGGAGTTCAGTTACTATTATATTTACTGTTTACCCGTACACAAGACAATACTCTGCAACACAAGAGGAAGCTTAATCTATCATTGCGGGGTAGCCCTTCAATTCTCTGCTAGCCCTCGTTTTTGTCAAAATTAAAATTGTGTGAGTATTCACAAAAAGTGCTACCATTTTTAGCCACAAATATCCAGACGTGGGTGCAAGGGGAGAATGTGCTGAAAAGCAAACAACCTGTCAGAATGGACTGGAGCCAGGCAGTGTGAACCAACACAGACGGTGTCGTCATGCCTGCCTACTACTATGGTATGACTGGTTCTCGTAGGGAGGGTGGTTTGGCAGAGACAGGAACACCACAGTGTGGGTAAGCAGAAAAGGGAGGTTATAAGAACACCTACTCATTTCACTGTGATTTTCATCCAGGTTTCCAGGAGTCTAAAAATCCCAGGAAATGACAAACCCACAGACCCCACAGCCTCACATGAGATAGAAGGTACTGGGAAGGAAGGGAGGAAGATAGAGAGAGAGGGAGGGAAGAGAAGGAGGGAGAGAGGGAGGGAAGGAGTGAGGGAAGGAGAGAGTATATCTACACTAAAAAGATTAGACAAAGTAAGGAGAATGATCCATCTAATTTGGTCCTCGGGTTGTTTAGAAGGCCTCTAAAACAGTTCCAGGCAGTCCTTTGGTTCCTCATTATAAAGAGAAATGAGAGGCACTTGAAACATTGAGCAATGAACCAGCTCTGTTTAACTAAACCTGGGAAACAAATGGAAGCTCACGAGGGATGTGGCCTATAGCTTTCAGACCACAGTGAAAACCACCACAATTCCCTGCCTTTCTAAGCAAACTCAATGAAAAGTAATATTAAGATCTAACGGATTTGGCTCAGTGGATAGTCAGCATGCAGACTGAAAGGTCCTGGGTTCGATTCCAGTCAAGGGTATGTACTTTGGTTGCAGGCACATCGCCGGTGGGGAGTGTGTAAGAGGCAACTGGTCGATGTTTCTCATCGATGTTTCTAGCTCTCTATCCCTCTCCCTTCCTTTCTGTAAAAATTCAATAAAATATATTTTTGGGGGGGAAAAAGACCCATGTGCCCATAGTGGTTCATTTGCAAATAGACTAGCTCACTTTAAAATGTTTTTCCTACCAGTCTTGAATATTACTACTAGTGACCATTTTAGAATGTCAAAGAAACTTGTAGAGGGACATGGGTAACAGAAAGGGAAGATCATGAACAATTATCTTACTTCCTCAGAGCCTTGCCTACAAACGGCTACACCGGAGCCCGTATGTGGGAAAACATCTAACCTGGGACTGAAAGGCCAGCCTGTAGGGACTGACGTCAGCTCCTGCTACGCGGCGCCCGCTATGTGAGGGCGAGCCTCACCACAGTGCTCACAAAGGGGCTGCTGCCTCCACCACTCAAGGCCACACTCCTAAGAGCTGAGACCTGATCACAGGCCAGTCAGGCTGCTAGGCCCATATTTGTTAACCTGTTAACCCAGCGGGACCTATAAATACGTCAAACGTAAACAATATCGGGAACGGGTAGGATGTATGAATACGTCCTTGAAATACATGTTGCGCCCCGAGAGGGAGGGTATATATTTTTTGTAATCTTTTTTTTTTTTTAATTGATTTTTTACAGAGAGGAAGGAAAAGGGAGGGATAGAGAGTTAGAAATATTGATGAGATGCGAGAGAAACATTGGTCAGCTGCCTCTTGCACACCCCCCACTGGGGATGTGCCAGCAACGAAGGTACATGCCCTTGACCGGAATCGAACCCGGGACCTCTAGGTCCGAAGGCCAACGCTCTATTCACTGAGCCAAACCGGTTTCGGCTATTTTTTGTAATCTTTATTATTGTTTGTAAAATTTATAATTTTTTAATTCAACGTGTCCATTTTTTTGTAGGTATTCTTTTCTATTTTTTTGTAATTTTGTATTTTCCTTTGTGCTTTATATATATAAATAAACGAAAAAATATATATTTCATTGATTTTCATTAAATATGAATAAAAAATAATATGAAATTACGTCCTCCGGGCGTGACGTACTGACACATCCTAGTGAAAGAGAACGCGCCCATTACAGGTTGCGTCATTAAAAAGGGAACTCCCCGGTTAACAGGTTCTGTCTTAGAGAGCCTGCAACCAACGTATGTGCCCTTGACCGGAATCGAACCCAGGACCCTTCGGTTCACAGGCCAACATTCTATCCACTGAGCCAACAGGCTAGGGCAACAGTTACTTTTTAAATTTGTAGATTGGTGGTTTTAACATACGAAATACCCCCACTTCCTGCTACAGGGGTCACTCACTAATCCTGTCTAGTGGCCAGTTCCTCGGGGAGTCGGATAAAACAAGGCTGCTAAATGAAGACAAGCCAAATCTCAAATCCTTGCTGCTCCCTAACAAGCATGGACCATTTTTCAGGGTGTTTCTTTTAGAGCTTTGACAATTAAAAGGGTTCGTATTCCATCCACATTTTCCTAAGACTTCCTTTCCCCTAAATATCTAGTGGCGATTTTAGGAGTCTCTCTTATCTATGCTACTGTCAGGTGACGACAGGCAAAGAGCCATGACACACCAGTCTGAGTGTGGTTGATCTTTCCAGGGGAGGGGAGGACCCTGTGGCCCAAATGCCCTCTAAACCTCCTGCATTGCTCCAGTCCCACTCCGACGGCTAAAACATGGATACTTCTCTGTGCGGTAAAATCAGTACTTTGGGAGGCAAAGGATTCTGCATGTCTCTTAAATCTTCTCAATGTCCCATCAAGAGAAAATGCCCCTTCCCACAGATTATGAGCAGAAATTGAGGGGAGAGGCAAAGCAAGACAGACAAACTATCACATAACGAGCACCAGGGTGCTCCTCTGAACATACCGAAAAGGTGTTCATGGAATCATGGGAAAGAGGACGGAGAGGGAAGGAGTTGGGTGCGAGGAAGTGGGAGGGAGGCATTGGTGCAAATAGTACTGAATGACAACCAACAGCCAGCTTGCGACTGTACCACCAGTGTTACTGCTACAACCGGAGGCAACATGGATGTCAATAAATGGGTAAAATGTAAAAACAGCCCAAGAATAAGCCACCAACTGCTTCGCAGCAACCCCATCAACAGTGCATAATCAGCAGAGTGGGCAGGGAGTCCCGGTCAAATAGCAGCAGGGGGCTGCTGGGAAAGCCAGTGGAAGTCAGCAGTGGGTTGGCTGGGACAGGCCTTTGGAGGAGGTGGCCGTGCTGGCGGCTCCACCTGCAAATTGCTGCACTGCGGTCCTGCTAGTCAGGGCTCCTGATTTCAACTGGTTTTTATGTGAAAAGGCTATAGAACTACCCCCTTGAGTATTTTTTACACCAAATGAAATTTAAGCTAACGCCCCAAGGCTGCCTTGCACAGCCTGAGGTCGCCATGGCACTACTGACTGGTAAAGGGGGCGGGAGAGGAAGACAGAGAGGGGAGATGGGTAATAGGAGTGAGGAAGAAAGGAAGGAAAGGAAGAGAGGATGTCCGGGTATGACTGTCAATGCAAAAACTGAGGACATGGAGGGAAAATTTGTTCCAGGAAATTTCCAAAAAAATAAAAACTAGCTTATGTGTCATGTCAGTGGATGAGATGGGCACTTTCTTCTTTGAATTACACCGAGACGATAAAAACAGACACAATGGTGGGAGCCCCTTATATCTTCCTCTGCTTCCCAATGCCAAAGGTAGGCTCTGAAAGCTCTGTGAGATTTTACAAACACTCCAAATGAAATCAGGTAGCTGAAGGCTTACAATCCGGGTTCTTTCCAAGAAACTCAGTATTGAGCTTTCTTTTCAAAGAAGTCCATTCACAGTCCTTAACTATTCGCCCATTTGAAACTGTGAGGGAACCAGGAGGCAGTCCTCGGCACCTGACTCCCAGGAATGAGAACTTATGGTTGCTGATCCTGACACCCAGCCAGCCTGTCATTTCAGGTTCCTCAAAGCCAGGCAGGTGGCATTTTATTCTTGGGCCTTTGGGCAGAGACAGGATTAGTCAAAGGAGAGCATTTGCACAGCGCACAGTACCGGGAAGTCGTTAATTGCTTGTATGGACCAACGTCGCCGGGCAGAGCGAGGAGACATCTGTGTGTGAAAACGTTACACCCAGGAGGAGGGAAGAAAAACACCGAGAAAATTAAAAGGGAAAAATATAGAATAAAATGAAAGCTTCCCACACAACTGATGGATTAAATGATACCATAATATTCTACAAAATCAGGATTGAAATGCTACAAAATCTGAACTGGAATATAGCGGTGGATGGATTCCCTCTCCTCCCAACCAATCCATCACTCTCCAAACCCAGCTTCAACGTCATTGTTCTTCAGCCCAAAACACATTTCAACATATAAGGAGCTGATGTCCACACCGCTCTGACAAAGGAACTACGACCAAAGGAACTAACGAGGGTTAGGATCACAGGGCCACTGGGGGACTCTGCTTACCCTTTCAGGGGCATGTTTATGTGCGAGAATATCCCCATTCCTAAAAAGGAAGGAGTTCTTCCATACACTCAATACCACATTTTTTTGGGTGCGTAGCTAAAGGGCATTGGAGAAACTGGAAACCTTGACCTTGGGACCACGGGACTATTTTTAGAGTGATGCCATGGGAAGCGAGGGCCCCAGGGAAATGCAGGGAAGAGGGAGCTAAGGCTGAGGACTGACACTCTTAAGGGCACTCTCCCTAACATGAGCATCAGTGTGAAACTGGGAGCATACACACTGTTTACGGAGATCAGAAATTATTCTAGCAACCTCACGACCTCCCCAGTTATTTACTTTAGAGCTATTTTCATAACATAAAAAAGCAAATGTGGGAGGTTGCAGAAATTTTTTTTCTAATTTGCATACATTTGAATTTTTCCATTTAAAAAAAAAATTTTTTTTTACATTTTTTTAATTAAATTATTATCTGTGTACATATTTTAACATTGCCCCCGCAGGTTGCAGAAATTTTTTAATGTTTATAGGGTAAAGCCTAATGTTTCTCATAAGCTCTGGGTTTTCCATAGAATAAGTAATATTTCATCAACTATTAATAGTTAGCCCAGTTACCAAATGAATGTTAGCAGCACTCTGTGTTTTCTAACTTCCTATAAAAAGTATCTCACAGCCTGGCTGGTGTGGCCCAGCCATTGAGCGTCAACCTATGAACTAGAAGGTCATGGTTTATTTCCAGTCGGGGCACATGCCCAGATTTCAAGCTTAATCCCTGGTGGGGGGCATGCCGGAGGCAGCCAATCAATGATTCTCTCATCATTGGTATTTCTATCTCCCTCTCTCTTCCTTTCTGAAATCAATTAAAAATACATATATTTTTTTAAATGTCTCACTTTTTTTAATTTTTAGGAGCAACCTTGGAATTCCATCTGGAGAACATTTGGCTGAATACAACATAGTGGTGAGGCTCAGTGGCTATAATGGAACTATAAACCAGGTTACAGTTCCATTCCTGGTCAGGGCACATGCCTGGGTTGTGGGCTTGGACCCCAGGAGAGGGAGGGCAGGGGCAGCTGATCAATGATTCTCTCTCACCGTTGATGTTTCTATTTTTCCCTCTCCCTCTCTTTTCCTCTTTAAAATTAATAAAAATATTTTTAAATGCCTTTTCAAGATCTCAGGGATAGAAATCTAAAAAAAAAAAATAGAAATATGTAGACAAAAGATCTGGGATGAAAATAAAAACACAAAAATTTTAGTAAAATGGAATCATTTCCAGAACCAAAGTAATGATAGTGCTATTATTTGCCCCAAGAAACTAGACACCCGAATCAGAAAATACTCCTTAAGGCACAGAACCGTATTGCTGTCCATAAGGAAGATAAGAAGCCCGATGGACAATATCATGGCTGTATCTCATTTCTTTAATCCTCCCCCTTTGTCCATGTAGGGATGGACATGAACAAGCTTTTAGGAGAGATGAATTTATTTCAGATTCATCACAAAATAACTGACTTGCTCATTTTAACATATTATGTTGAACCAACTAAAATTTTTCTTTAAGATCAAAAATGGCCAAATAGCACTCATTTCATATGTTTTAACCTAATAATTACTTTATGTCATCCACTGAAATGTGCCTTCCTTCCCTAGGGATTCTGGGGTTTTTGTAATTTTCTATTTCCTGGCCGGTATGACTATTAATTCACTGAATTAGATGTTTATGATTTGTGAACTTCCCTGTACATAGGTTATATAGCAATGTAAAAGTTTCATGTACAATTATAATAAAAGGGTCTCTCCCGTTTTACTTGCTCACTATCTGAAATAAAACTGAAAGACACTCATTATGTGACCCTTGGGGATTTCACAGCCCATTTTCTGTAGAGAAGCAGCACAGTGGGCACGACCCCAAACTGAAACACCACGGCCCTTCCTTCGGTCCCTCTCTGATCGTGCTGTGTGTAGTAAGAGAGGCCAGACCACCCAACACATGAGTGTGGGCATTACAAATGCTTCCACATCAGGAGAGATCCCAACTGGGAACTGCAGTTACTTTGACTCAACATGGCCTTTACACACTGTCAAGAGTCAAAAGTGCTAGTCTGTGTGTTTTGCCCAATCCGAATCTAAGCATGAGCAGCACATGACATGATTCAACTAAAAGATCTCTTCAACCTGGCTCTGATGCTAAAGAAAACTCCCATATTTATCCAACCATGATGTCAATTAAAAAGTGCCTTAGTGCCGAAACCGGTTCAGGCTCAGTGGATAGAACGTCGGCCTGCGGACTGGAAGGTCCCAGGCTAGATTCTGGTCAAGGGCATGTACCTTGGTTGCGGGCACATCTCCAGTAGGGGGTGTGCAAGAGGCAGCTGATGGATGATTTTCTCTCGTCTATGTTTCTAACTCTCTATTCCTCTCTCTTTCTCTCTGTAAAAAAAATCAATAAAAAATATATATTTTTAAAAATGCCTTAGTTCCAACCAGTTTATCAGATCTTCTAGGCAGCTAGCTGCCAGCCAGCTTGCATTTAAAATAATTTTTTTAATGTAAAAAATTTGGGAAGATATGGCGTCCCAAGAAGGTCTGTGACAGCCAGGGGGATTCATTCCAGCAGAGATGTGAAGTAAATTGGCCAGAAAGGCAACAACAAAAATCATTGTCCCTGTTCCACTGAATGGTTTTGCCCGAGTCTGGTCTTGTCTCAAGCATCAGTTCCTGCCACTCATTTCTGATGACAAAGTCAGAGACAGCCAACTATGAGTGAGAACCAGGAATGTTAGATAGTATAGCTGCAATCAGAGCGATGACACCTCTAACGCTTGCTAGAAATTGGTTCATTTTAAATAATCCAATTTAAAAAGTTTTAATTATAGTTGATCCATCATTTCCTCATTAGTGGAGGACAAATAGCAAAGAATCCCTTTGGACTGAGTTTGTGAGAGTTCAGCGGTAACTCTGTTTAAAACATCATGTCAATTAAAAGCTGGTTTAAACCAGACTCTCAATCTGACAAGAAAGAGTTCTCAGAGTCCTTCCTACGCTCTGCCAACTCTCTCTACATTGTCGTCACTGAAGGCTTCTGACAGCTTAATAGCTACTTTAGGGACGATGAGTTCCTTAAGAATTAAGGAACATGAGGCCAGGTTCAAGTGATTTTTTTATATAAACTAGTCCACTCAAATGGGTACTTCAGTGTAGACTTAGGAAAACTATAAAACCTCTTAGAAATTAACTTTAAAACTTCTCACAGATATGAAGTTGCAAATACAGTAAGACACCAATCCCTCAGAATACCCCTTAATTTGTTGAACATCAGAATACCAAGGAAGATCTGAAGCTCAATTATTCTATATGAAAGAAGGATCAACTTAGTGAATGGGGATTATAAGAATAGGGTTGAGTGGGAGATCCTCCCAGATACATTTTTAATAGGTAAAGCCAATGGGAAGGCACAAAACAATGGTCTTCCTTTAACAAACTACTTATGACAGTGAAAGTCTACTGGGGATTGCCAGTTTAGCTGCTGTGCGTGGCAAGCAGGGAGACAAAGAACAAGAATCCAGGGAAGGGATAGGAATCAAAGGCCGAGGCTCTGCTGCTTACCCGCTCCTTGTAGTAGAAGGAGCTGACGGAGACCTGCTCTTTCTCACTGCGAGTGGGACTCCCACTGTATAAACGAAGGTTCCCAGGAGCCTCTGTGCGGATCTTCATTGGCGCGATCAAACCAGTGTGATAAGCAGACAAGGCCGAGAGAGATCTGTGGTTGGAAAATGCAGCATTATCCATACTGGCTTCAATCTTTCCATCTTCTTAAGCAGTGCCGTTCTTAGCATTTGATGAAACCAAGAGGAAAAGATGGATAAAATGGGGAGGAAATAGAAACTCTCCAAAAATGAATTAAATAGAACTTTCAGAACTGAAAAATACCTTATCTGCAGAAGAAGCAGAGAATGGTTCTGCTTATATACAAAGAAAATTCAAAGGACTTTATAAACTACTAAAACTAATAAGTGAGTTTAGATACAAAGCCAATCTATAAAAATCTACTATGACTGGCAGGCTGGTGTGTTCAGTGGTTAGAATGTTTACATGCACACCAAAGGGTCTTGGGTTTGATTCCCGGTCAAGGACATGTACCTGGGTTGCAGGTTCAAGCCCCCAGCCCATTGGAGCACATGCAGGAAGCAATCAACCAATGTCTCTCTCCCACATCCATCTTTCTCTCTCTGTTTCCCCTTTCTTCCCTGAAAAAATATCCTTGGGTGAGGATTAACAAAATAAAACAAAAAAGAAATCTACTGTTTTTCTATATAGTAGACACAAATATTTAGAAAATAAATATTTTTAAAATTTCATTTACAATAGCATCAAAACACATCAAATACCTAGGAACAAACTTAATGGAAAAAATGTGCATTGAAAACACAAAATATTCCAGAGACAGACTCATAGCTAGAGAGCAGGCTGACAGCTATCAGGGGAGTTGGGGGTTGGAGAGATTGAGCAAAAAGCAAAAAAGAGAAACAACTCTTGGACATGGACAACAGTGTGATGATTTTTGGGGGTAGAAAGGTTGGGGGAGGTGGAGAAAGATACAGGGAGGATAAATGGTTTTAAAAACATAAAAGAAATATAAAATGTTGCTAAAAGAAATTGAAGACCCAAAACAACAGAGAAGTATACCAAGTTCGTGGATTGGAAGATTACAAATTATTAAGATAACAATTTCTTGCCGAAACCAGTTTGGCTCAGTAGATAGAGCTTTGGCCTGGGGACTCAAGGGTCCCAGGTTCGATTCTGGTCAAGGGCATGTACCTTGGTTGCGGGCACATCCCTGATGGGGATGTGCAGAAGGCAGCTTATCGATGTTTCTCTCTCATCAATGTTTCTAGCTTTCTATCTCTCTCCCTTCCTCTCTGTAAAAAATCAATAAAATACATTTTTAAAAAAAGATAACAATTTCCTCCAAAGTGATTGACAGAGTTGACACAATTCCAATCAAGATTTGAGCTTTATCAGAGAAACCAATAAGCTGATTGCATCTTTTATAGAAATGTAAGATAGCCAAAACAATCCTGAATAAAAATAATACACTTGGAGGATTCACACTATCAGACTGGAAATTTACTACGTAAAGCTACATTAAGAGTCTAGTGTTGGCGTAAGGAGAGACCAATAGATTAAGGAGAAACGAGTCCAGAAGTATATCCACAAACACACGACCAATTACTTTTCAACAAAATTATCACAGATTGAGAAAAGAAAAATCTTTTCCATAAATGGTGCTGGGACAATGAAATATTTCCACTAGGAAAAAAAAACAAACAAAAAAACTGACTCCTACTTCATATCATACACAAAATTAATTTGAAATTGATTACAGACTTTTAATAAGGAATTTTAAACTACACTCTCTTGAAAGAAAACACAGAAGAATAGTTTCATGACCTTGGAATAAGCAAAGATTATTTTAGACAGGACACAAAAGCACTAACTATAGAATTTAAAAAGTGATGGCACAGACTTCATCAAAATTAAAAAATGCTGTTTATCAATAATCACTAAGGAGGGAGAAAAACAAGCCACAGATTAGAAATCAATACATCGAGCAAAGGATTTGCAACCAAAATGAAAACTACCACAGATAAGTAATAGAAACAGTTCAAAAACTGGGCAAAATAAAAGCACATCATAAAAGATACCCAAATGGTCAACTAGCACACAAAAGTGGTTCAACCTCATCAGTCATCGCGAGAGTTGTACAAATTAAAACCGTAATACTGCACACCCACCACAATGGCTGAAGTAAAACAACTGAAAAGGTGAAGTTTTGGGGAGGATGTGGAGCAATCAAAACTCTGAAACATTGCTGGCAAAGAGTATAAAATGGTACAAACACTGGGAACAGACTTTCTGGCAATTCTAATAAAATTAAAGATACACCTATGTTTATGACCCAGGGATTTGACTCCTCGGGTAGAGAAATTAATACGCACATCCATAAAAAGACTTGTATTTGTAAGTCTATATAAATTAGCCCCAAACTAGAAATTATCCAATGTTGATCAATAGGAGTAGGAATGAACTGTTTTATTTTCATACAATGAACCTATGGATACATGCAAAAATGAGAATCAATTTAAAAAACATTAAGTTCAGCGAAATAAGCCAGTCATAAAATAGTACATGTTGCATGAATCTATTTAGGTGAAATTCAAACACAGGCAAAACTCAACTACAATGACGGCAGTCAAAAGAGTGTTTCCACGGGGCAGAGGGACCAGGGAGCTTTTTGGGTGAGGGCAATGCACTGGTTCTTGATTTGGGTGCTGGTCAATAAAATACTGCTAGTATGAAAAACATTCTAGTTAGGAACATTTCCCCTCTGATCCAAAGTTCAGATCCAGATATTCTTGCTTTTCTTAGAGAAGATGTGATTGTTTTCTAGTCGAACCTTTCAAATAAGGAACCCAGATAACATAGCGTCTCTAGCTCTTAACTCCTAGATTTTGTGGGACCAGTGTCTCATCTGCTTGGATTACTGAGGAGACTGGCAAACTCCCAGGACAACAGAGGCATCTGCTCACGCACCTGGTTCAATTTCCTTCCTTTCTTGTTAGCTCAGCTATTCATTCATAAGTATGCTAATATGTTACACCAATGTATCCAGGTGTTTGCAGCAGTAGGATTCAGAAGTTATGGTCATCACACTGTAGAACCAGAAGTCTATGGTATACAACATATTTAAGTTTTAAAACCAGTAGTATGCCCTAGCTGGTTTGGCTCAATGGATAGAGCATCAGTCTGCGGACTGAGGGGTCCCAGGTTCAATTCCAGCCAAGGGCATATGCCTGGGTTGCGGGCTCGATTCCTAGTAGGGGGCGTGCAGGAGGCAGCCAATCAATGATTCTCTCTCATCATTAATGTTTCTATTGCTCTTTCCCTCTCCCTTCCTCTCTAAAATCAATAAAATAGTCGAAACCAGTTTGGCTCAGTGGATAGAGCGTCAGCCTGCAGACTGAAGGGTCCCAGGTTCGATTCCGGTCAAGGGCGTGTACCTTGGTTGCGGGCAGAGCCCCAGTGTGGGGTGTGCAGGAGGCAGCTGATCAATGATTCTCTCATTGATGTTTCTAACTCTCTATCCCTTTCTCTTCCTCTCTGTAAAAAATCAATAAAATATATTTAAAATTAATTAGTTAACTAATTAAAATAAAATATACTTAAAAAAAAAAAAACAGTAGTAGGGGGATGTTGTGTGAGTGGGCAGGAGGAGTGCACCAAAACTCGGTACTTTCCATTCAGTTTTGCTATGAATCTAAAATTGCAGCCGGGACCGGTTTGGCTCAGTGGATAGAGCGTCGGCCTGCAGACTGAAAGGTCCTGGGTTCGATTCCGGTTGAGGGCATGTACCTTGGTTGCGGGCACATCTCCGGTAGGGGGTGTGCAAGAGGCAGCTGATTCTCATCGATGTTTCTAGCTCTCTATCCCTCTCTCTTCCTCTCTGTGAAAAATCAATAAAATATATTTAAAAAATAAATAAATAAATAAAATTGCTCCAAATGATAAAGTTTATTAATTAAGAAAAAAACTTTATAATATAATCCAGCAAATCCATTCCTAGCTAATACCCAAGAACAGTGAAAACATATGTTCACACAAAAGCTTGTATACAAATGTTCATAGCAGTATTATTCATAATAGTCAAAAAGTAGAAATAACACAAATGCCCACTGACTGATGAATGAATAAATAAAATGTGGAGCATATATTGGGGTATATATATATATATATATATATATATATATATGATCCTCAAAACATTACACCAAATGAAAGAAGCCAGTCACAAAGGAAACAAAGGACCACATACTATATGATTTCATTTATATGAAATATCCAGAATAGGCACATTTATAGGGAGAAAGTAGATTAGAGTTTGGAAGAATAGAAGAGGAGAGGTGAGAGCTAAAGGGATATGAAATTTCTTTCTGAGATAATGAAAATGGTCTAGAATGTAGTAATGACTGTAGTGATGACTGCACATATCTGTGAATATACTAAAAACCACTCAAATATTTACTGAAGATAAAATAAGTTGTCTAAAGACAAACTCAAAGGTCATCCCCAGATGTCTGCCCACTTCATGAATGTACCTTACAGCTGCATCTCCCAGACTCACCTCGGAGTAGGTTCTGTCGGGGACACCGCTCGATGCATCGTCATAGGCCTTGTGAAATACACCAGGTACCCTGACAAAGGAAACATCACACGTGCACGTCAAGGTCAATGAGCCGGACATGGGAAATCCTGAGGCGGCACTGGTCAATCTTTGTCTATTTCAGTACACCTGAAGGACAGGACACATTTCCATGAGGTACAAAGGCTCATGGCTGCAGCCATGTTTAACAAAGACTGCAGCCATACTTAACAGGAGACGGGATGTATGTATTTTGGAAAAAGTCACCACAGGTATTTTATATTACCTGGTCAGGGGACCTGTCCCCTGTTAAAAATCAGGACTTTGAGTGAAATCCAAGTTCATACTCTCAAGACTATAATTCTGGTGAACATTCGTAGGATTTGTCCACAGATTCCAATCTGGCATCAGAGCGTATTACACGACGATAGAAGTTTTTTTGAGTTCTCAGAAAATAAAAACAAAGAAAAATTCCTCTCCCAAAATCTAGAATCAGAGAACAAAAAAAACAAAACAACAACAACAACAAAAAGACCAACCTGCTCCACAGAACCTGGCCCCCGAGGTCCTCGGGAAGGGGATGTTGGCATCCTGGTAGGACCCGTAGGCGGTGGTCACCCGGGCAAACGTGGGTAAGGGTGGCGTGACGGAGTTTGGGAGCGCAAAGGGGTTGCTGGAAGCACTGTCCTCTTGATTCTGAAATTTAAAAGTCAACAGACTAAAAACCACAGCCTGACTCAAAGCTGAATTACAAAATAAATAAAGATATATTACTACAAAATCAGGTGCCCAGGCAGGAAGAAATTATACAAAACACCAGAGCATAGGCTGGTACAAGAATCTCACCACGAAAGACTCAAGACAGGAGACGAGCTGGCGCAGGCAGGGCTCCAAACAACTCTGGTTGCGTTTCACTTTTTGCAGGGAAGTGTCTTTCAGGATCTGGAAAAGGCACAGAACACAGTCAATAATAGCAACGTTCTTCAAAGCAGTCGGAAGCGGTGAAGAGCAGGGAGATTGGAGCATGGCTGTGCCGGAGGCTTCCCACTCAAATGACTACTTTCACCTTCTCTGGAGGCTCGGAGAGAAGACTCCTTTCTGAACCCACTCTGAGAAGCCCTTTCCTCAGGCAGGCACACAGGCTGGTTTTGGAGGGCACGTTTCCAATAATGGAATGAATGTTCTTTAAGTGAACATTCTACTCCTTTCCTCATCCCCTGCCTCACACCCCCTCCATGAGAAATCTCAGTGCCTTACAAGGAACACCCGCTGGGCTGAACTGAAAATTGCTCTGAGCGATACATATAAGCCAGGGGGAACAGATCTATCTTTTTTCTTCTTCTTTGGTTGTTTAAAGATAAAAATATAAAGCCCATTACTTTAAGGCACATGCTATGCATGTAAGCTGACATACACATATTGAAGACAGGCATGCAAACTGGACTTGCACTGTCCAATACGGAAGTTGTTGCCCACATGGGGGTACCAAGCAGGTGGAATGTGGCTGTCTGAATGGAGATGTGCTGTAAGTATACAATTCATACCCAATGTTGGAGACTTAGTACCAAAAAACAAAACGTAAACTATATCATTTTCATACCGACTACATTGTTGCTCTGAAAATTCTCTGGATATGCAGGATTAAATAAAAATATTGTTGAATTAATTAATCTTTTAATTTTGTTTTTAGTTTAAAATTACAAGTGGCATGCATTCTATTTCTATTGGACAGCACTGACTTCAACCTTTAATTAAGAACACTTCCTAATCCTATCATCTTTATACCAAAAGAAAATCTTTTTTACATGTCCAAATGAGACAATGAAATATTCAAATTCCAAGTACAACAGGTCAAATACCACAAAATCTGAGTAATTAGCATTTCAGAGGTCCTTATGACACTTGAACATTTTTCTTAATTACATAACTAGGTCTGATGCCAGGTGGGTACGAGAAATATCGGGGAGAATAACTTGGCAAATGCATGATCGTGTAACCACTATACCGTATACCCAAAATTGAAAATAATATTGAATATAAACTCTAATTGCAAAATAAAATAAAGATGTTTTACTATAAATCATACTCCAAGAAGACAGATCAAGTGCATATGAAATAAACGAGGCAAAAGGTGAACAGCATTCGGGTCAACTTGGCTTTGTCAGAACAACGCAGTTACTTAAAAGGTGCATCATCCCCAGCTCCTGGCGCTTCCTCATGGGAATTCTGCCTGATTTGCTGTGTGAACTGACAAATGGAGTTTCTGTACATGCAGGGGACAAGACCAGCCACCAGGCGGCCCCTCCTCCACTCAGGCACTGACACCCTTCACACACTCACTGTGCAGCCAGCTGCCTCATTTGAGGATGACACTGTCTCTTTTTATGGAATGGATTTTTTTATTGTTTAAAATATTACAAATAGTAGTACATATGTCTCCTTTTTTACCTCCCCCTTCCCTAGTAGGCCTTCCCTACTCCCAGCACATGCTCTCACCCTCCATCCCCCCGTGTCTGTGTCCATTGGTTATCCTTTTACGCATGCATACAAGTCCTTCAGTTGATCTCTTACCCACCCCAACCCTCCCCTGCCTTCCCGCTGTAGTTTGACAGTCTGTTCGATGCTTCTTTGTCTCTGTGTCTATTTCTGTTCATCAGTTTATGATGTTCATTATATTCCATAAATGAGTGAGATCATGTGATATTTATCTTTCTCTGACTGGCTTATTTCGCTTAGTATAATGTTCTCCAGTTCTATCTATGGTGTTGCAAATGGTAAGAATTCCTTCTTTTTAACTAAACTAAAGATGGAACTGCCATTTGACCCAGTAATACCGCTTCTAGGAATATATCCCAAGAAAACAGAAACACCAATCAGAAAGGATATATGCACCCCTATGTTCACAACAGCACAATTCACAACAGCTAAGATTTGGAATGGATTTTTTTTTTTTAATGACCTAACACATTTTTTTCTGATTACTAGATATATTTTATCTTCAGAATACACATTGCCTATTGTTCCCAGATAAATGAAACTATATTGCAAGGTTTTTAACCTGAGAATAATATAGAGTTTTAATGAGATCTCTGAGCAGATTAAATGTACCATTAATCATAGAGCTGCATATTATTTCATAGACAATTATCTCTGAAATTATATGCAATATCTGTGCAGATTTTTCTGGGAAGGGTCCATAGTTTTCATTGGACTTTCTTTTTTTTTTTTTTTTTTTTTTAAATATATTTTATTGATTTTTCACAGAGAGTAGGAGAAAGGGATAGAGAGCTAGAAACGTCGATGAGAGAGAAACATCGACCAGCTGCCTCTTGCACCCCCCCCACTGGGGATGTGCCTGCAACCAATGTACATGCCCTTGACCGGAATCGAACCTGGGACCTTTCAGTCCGCAGACCGACGCTCTACCACTGAGCCAAACCGGTTTCGGCTCAGCCAAACCGGTTTCGGCTCATTGGACTTTCAAAGGGCATCCATGACCCAAAAAGGTCAAGAGCCACTGCTCCATTGTTTTCTACACAAAATAAATAGCAAGTGTTAACATGGCTGTGTGTCAGGATAGATGCCTTCCAAATCTTACATGTTGGTAATTTTCATTCAACTTCACTACTCTAATTGCAAAATAAACTATGCTCAGGAGCAGAATTCTCATACAAACATCAAGGAGAACATGTGAACACAGATCCCAACCTTTAGCAGCTTCGCTTTCATTGTGGACGTGATGGTCGTGGGATTGATAAACTGGAAGGAAGGGGCGGCATTGTTTGGATACTGCGCAGGGAACTTCACCAGCATCTTGACACGATGGTTGCTACAGTGCACAGACACTGTGCAGCTCCTATCCGCAGCGTCCATCTGCAAGGGACAAATAAATAACTGCTTTGGAGACTAACCAGGAAGGGTCTTTAGATGCAAATGGATTGAAATCAGCTAACTGGCCATAGCTGGTTTGGCTCAGTGGGTAAAGTGTTGGCCTATGCAATGAAGGGTCCCGCATTCCATTCTGGTCAAGGGCACATGCCCAGGTTTCAGGCTCGATCCCCAGTAGGAGGTGTGCAGGAGGCAGCCGATTAACGATTCCCTCTCATCATTGATGTTTCTCTCTCTCCCTCTCCCTTCCTCCCTGAAATCAACAAAAATATTTTTTAAATCAGCTAACTGAATGCTCCTAGTTCCTGAAATCTCCAAAGATAAAGGTAGAACTCCAAAATCAAATTAATTTAATATGGTTAGAAAAATAATCTGCATTTGTAAAATATCAATTTCTTTAGAAAATGCAGGAAATAAAAAGTAAGCCGAGAGACTTCTTTGTTAGAGCAGCAAAGCTATGCGCTAGCTGAAATCACAGCTGAAATAGACCCCTCTCCCACCAACTGCCTTCGCGAGCATGAGACAATTCATTAGACGTGGAGCACCTCCACGTTGACATTCCGGATCTGCACGTTGATCAGGGAGAACTCCTGCTGCAGGGTCTGAGGCAGTCCCGGCTGATCTGATTTCTTCTCTTCCAGGAGACTGCTCGGGGGATCTTCCTTTAAGACTAGCAAGGGAGAGAGGTTCAGTTGTTGGCAAGCATCTCTGACACTGAGTCAGAGAGCAGTTGTTCTACAGTATCTTCTCCAACTCTGAAATGCGCAGAGGGCACCTCACGTATGATAAAACACCAGTTTGACCAGGTACCTTCTTCCTCTCCATGGCTTGAGCTGTGCTGGTGATCTGTGTCCTGAGTGTGAAGGGTCTTCTCTGGTTCCGGCAGAAGAGAAATGCTCTCGATGAACTCATCAACACCATCTAATATGTCATTTGCACAAAGCTGCAACAAAGGGTAGAAGATCTCGGTTCCAGAGAAGTCAGTGGAAATGGTCATCATGTTGGGTTAAGAGTTCTCACCTAAAAATGGGAATCACAGCCCTGGCTGGGGTGGCTCAGTTGGTTGGCCATCGTCCTATGCATCAAAAGGTTGCCAATTCGATTCCCGGTCAGGGCAATGCCTGAATTTCAGACTCTACCTCCCCCACCTCCACCCCCAGCCATATGGGACCTGCAGGAGGCAATTGATTGATGTTTCATTCTGATATTGATGTTTCTCTCTCCTTCTCTCTTCTCTTCTCTCTCTTTCTCTCTCAAAATCAATTTTTTAAAAATGGGAATCACAAAAGAGAGATATCAGACAAAAACTGATAAAATCAAAATAGGTTTTATCCATCACCAACTCTTCCTGATTAAATATACAGGAGAATAGACTCTATTACTCTACAGTGAAATTTTTTCATCCTGTTCATAGTTTATGCAAGCCTCAGAAAACATTATTTTTAATTCTAAGCCTTGATGGAGTTATTCAGCTAACCCCCCAAAATATAATAACCTTCAGAGCATTTAGAGCAAATGGTACTTTTTGGAGAAAATAGATTTGAAAGACAATAAGGTGGTGATAATTGATGAAAACGCTCAAGAATGACTTTGTACTAAGTACCATTTTCTACCCACTCTGTACAGAGTGCTGTGGGGAAGGAATACAGGTGAGACATGATTCCTGACTTAGACATGCAGAGGTTCTTCAGCCTGTAATACTGAATACTGAAGTTGACTCTTGGAAGACCTCAGAGGCTCACTGTGGCAAACACAGCTACTTGGCCTACCAGCAAGTGTGTATTAAATATCTATCATGTATCCTCTAACTTCCACAAATACCAAATTCTGTATCTTTTTAAGTTTCTATTATATCTGGTTACATTCCTCCACAACAGCAATGAATACATACCCTCTGCATCTGGGAATCCACCCGCCACATTCTCAAGGTCTGATCCCGTGACCACGTAACCAGCTGGTAGTCCTTGGACCCTAGAAATTACCAAATAAAAGTCCTGGAAAATTTTCTAAATTAAACATCAATTTTGCTACAGATTTTCATTCATTCATTCATTCATTCATTCATTCATCAATCCATCCATTCAATAAATATTTATGAACTGTTACAGACACTACAGCATGAATACAATAATCTCTGACACTGTAAATCTTATATACCAATGGTAGAAATAAAAAAAACTAATAAATATGCAATAAAATGTTGGTAGTGACAGTGTTATTTAAAAAAAAAAAATAGAGAGAGAGACTGATAGGGAAGCTATTTTTAGACAAGACTCCCTGTAGAAGTCACATTTGAGCAGAAACTTAAATGAGGTGAAATAATAACTAGCAAATTAGCAGGTGAAGAATGATACTGGGGTTTAATGCCACATTAAACTTTCACCTCCACAAATGTTCTTCTTTTATATGCTCCAGAGGAGCCGGGATGAATACATTTTTTGCAAAATGAATTGATTTAAATGCATCCTGGCATCTTACTGTTTAAAATAATTTTTGGAAAAGAGGTGCACACATCTCTTTATAAAATGAATAATAAATCTTTAATGTTTTGAGTTGACTGAATTATATTTTCACGTTAGGTCAGGTCAAAGGAAAATTATTCTGAAAGGCTCAGGGTGCTTTATGAAAGAGCTTTATGAAAGGTCAGGACATTTCAGGGAAATTATGTAGTATCTAGAATATGCTTCATGGCATCTTCAGAGAGCAAAGAACTTAGAGAAGTAATTTCACCAATTTCCTCATTCCATCATGAGGGGGGAAAAACACAATCTGTTCAAGTTAATCGGGTGAGTGAGGGACAAAAGTTCCTTCTCTGTCACTGTCTTCAAAAAATGTTTCTATAAACCGGTTTAAATCTAACAAGACAGCCCTGGCCAGTGTGATTCAGTTGGTTGGGTATCATCCAATGCACTGAAAGGTTGCTGGTTCAATTCTCCAGTTAGGGCAGCCGATAGATGTTATGCTCTTAAATTGATGTTTCTCCTTTCTCTCTCTCTTTCGCCTTTCCTCTCTCTCTAGAAATCAATAAACCATTCTTAAAAACAAACAACAGCCGAAACCAGTTTGGCTAAGTGGTAGAGCATCGGTCTGCAGACTGAAAGGTCCAAGGTTCGATTCTGGTCAAGGGCATGTACCTTGGTTGCGGGCACATCCCTGGTAGGGGGTGTGCAAGAGCCAGCTGGTCGACGTTTCTCTCATCGACATTTCTAGCTCTCTCTCTCTCTCCCTTCCTCTCTGTAAAAAATCAATAATTAATATATATATATGTATGTATAAAATATGCCCTAGCTTATTTGGCTCAGTGGATGAAGTGTCAGCCTGTAGACTGAATGGTCCCAGGTTCAATTCCAGTCAAGGGCGCATGCCTGGGTTTCGGACTCGATCCCCAGCGGGGGATGTAAGGGAGGCAGCCAATCAATGATTCTCTCTCATCATTGATGTTTCTGTCTCTTTCTCCCTCTTCCTTTCTCTTTGAAATCAATAATATATATATGTGTGTGTGTGTGTGTGTGTGTGTGTGTGTGTGTGTAACTAAGAAGAGATGGCCATAAAAATAAAAAGTAAAATACAAGAATACATAAAGGATAATTATATTCACAAAAGGTTCAACAACAAGCAAACCTAAATTATTTTGAGAAATGAAAAAAAAAAAAAGGGTGGTAAAACTAAAAAGATAAAACCAGAAATCACTATCATAAGCATTAGGATAGTATTTACCTCTAGGAAAAGAGACAGTATGGTGATCAGAAAGCTTTTGGGGTTCTAATAATGTTCTTTTCTGGACCTTGGTTGTGGTTACATAGATTTCCACTTTATTTTTTAAACTGTATGTGTTTTATACAATTTTATGGATGGGTGATATATTTCACAATAAAAATGAATAAAAAACCAAAACCCTATAACTTACATTCAAAATTTCACCACTGACCCTAGCTCGTTTGGCTCAGTGGATAGAGCATCGGCCTGGGGACCAAAGGGTCCCAGATTCGATTCCAGTCAAGGGCTTGTACCTTGGCTGTAGGCTTCTCCCTGCCCCAGGCTCTGGTAGGGGCTCATGCAGGAGGCAACCAATTGATGTTTCTCTCACAACAATGTTTAACTCTGTCTTTCGCTCTCTCTTCCACTCTCCTTAAAAATCAATGGAGCCTTAACCAGTTTGGCTCAGTGGATAGAGCCTCAGCCTGCGGGACTGAAGGGTCCCATGTTCGAGTCCAGTGAAGGGCATGGACCTTGGTTGCAGGCACATCCCCAGTGGAGGTTGTGCAGGAGGCAGCTGATCAATGTTTCTCTCTCATCAATGTTTCTAACTCTCTATCCCTCTCCCTCCCTCTCTGTGAAAAAAATCAATAAAATATATATATTTTTAAAAATCAATGGAAAAATAACATCCAGTGAGGATTAACAAATATATATATATATATATATATATATATATATATATATATATAAAATAAAAATAAATGTTTAAAAAACTTTTTCACTACAGGTTAGACAGTCCCAATTTATACAATTCACTCTACTGGCATATAAACATAGATAACTGAAAATTGATTGCTAACAACTTTATTTCAATCCAAAATTACAGGCCAACCTCTCTCAGCCAGGGGGGAAACCACATAATCTGTTCACTAAGGCAAAATGCAAGAGAATACGCTGAAAGCCAAAGTCATGCAGCCTCATGTTTCTAGAAGCAGGAGAGATTACAGAAATAAAGACGGGAAAATTAAAAAGATGATTAAGAGAATCCCTTCAAAAACAATCCTGGGAGAGTCACAAATAAGTTGGGGTGAGAAGTTGATTGCTCTAACTCTGGTCTACCAGAGTCCTTTCCTGGGCTCTGGACAAGTCACACCACTGCCCTGCCTGGCTTTCCTTCTGTGATATGGAAAGACCAAGAAACATACTTCTGTTCTGTACAATATTTAGAGAGCATGGCAGGAAGAACTCAAAAAAAGAGAGGCTGCCCTAACCAGTTTGGCTCAGTGGATAGAGCGTCGACCTGCAGACTAAAGGGTCCTGGGTTCCATTCCAGTCAAGGGCATGTACCTAGATTGCAGGCACACCTTCAGTAAGGGGTGTGCAGGAGGCAGCTGATAGTGATTCTCTCTCACCACTGATGTTTCTCTCTCTCCCTCAGCCTTCCTCCCTGAAAGCAATAAAAATATATTTTTTTTTAAAAAAAAAGAGAGAGAGAGAGAGGCTGCAATTAAATTTGCATGGTGAGTTGGTGGAGAAACAGGCCGAGGGCTGCCTGACTCCCACTGTAATTCTGACCAGGCATTAGTGATGGCTGGCTAATGAAGATGCAATCACAAACAAATCTCAGTAGCTTAAAGCAAGGGTTTTATGCTCACTCTCTGTCTCTACCTCCTCCTCATTTCTGACCGGAGTGGCTCCATCTGGAGTCTTGCCAGCTGCATGGCAGAGGCAATAAGAGCGTGACTTGCACATTGGCTGTTAATGCTTCAACCCAAAAGAGACCGTATCATGTTTCATGTTCAAAGCATGTCATTTGACCAAACTTATCTTCAAGGGCACGGGTGGTAAAATACCACTATGCGTTTGTGATGAGACTGGGAATATATGAGGGGCAGTGATGACCCTGGGTCTCCCTTGTCAGCAGAGTAGCAAGGGACAGCTGCCAGAGGCTTCTGAGGGTAGCAACCCCAGAGTTTTCAGCCCTAGAAATGACCCACCAGCAAGTCTATCCAATTCTTATAGATCTTTCTCACACACAGGAGAGAGACTCCATGGAACGGCTGGGAAAAGGAGAAAACGTAGAAGCATCGCAGCCCACGCACCCCTTGGCCTCTCTGCGATTAAGGGTGGTGGACCCTGACTGACTCCTAAAGCCAGCCCTGCTTCTGTGTCCTCCCCATCGGATCACACAGCCAACCCTGACCGAGCTGCTGCGGAACAGGGCTCAGAAGGAAACCGGGTGGCCGTGTTCCCTCCCACTCACCTTCCTTCTGCTTCCTCCACTGGAACTCCAGCACCACGTCATCGTGGCCCACAAAGGTGTGGACAGGCGTGTTCAAGTCAAAGACGTTCCACAAGAGGAGGCTGTTCTCCCTCCGCAGCTGGGGGACCATCACAGTCACCAATCCGTTGCTGAACGGCTACGGCAGGAAAGGGGCAAAAAAGCAGGTGATGATTCCAGAGAGAATCAGCTGAGTCTTCAGTAACAAAAACAGCAGTTCTTTCCTAAAATAAATTGGATGATGGAAGGTCCCAACTAATATAGGGGAAATTTTTCCAAATATCATAAGCTGACCATCACATCTACTTTTTTTTTTTGATGGAAGAAATGAGAGCAAGTGAAGAGATAAATACATAAAGCTAAGCCTTGCTCTAGCTGGTTTTGCTCAGTGGGTAGAGCGTCGGCCTGCAGATTGAAAGGTTCTGGGTTCCATTCTGGTAAAGGGCACATGCCGGGGTTGTGGGCTCAATCCCCAGTAGGGGGCGTGCAGGAAGCAGCCAATAAATGATTCTTTCTCATCATGAATGTTTCTACCTCTCTCTCCCTCTCCCTTCCTCTCTGAAATAAAAAAAATATTTTTAAAAAAAAAATAAAATAAAGCTAAGCCAAATACTTGAAGGAACTTTGAAAATATTCTAAAATATGGCTCTGACTGTTGCACAGGGGAACACACTGGTTCATATCGCAGCTACTCTCCCCGAGCTCTTTCATGCGTTACTGAGCGCCTTCCCAGAGTGAGCATGCGAGGCACGCTGGGGAAAAGCCCAGAGCAGCAAGCACAAGTCCTGTCTCCAGGAAATGCACCACGTGAACCATAACCTTCCCACTGCCCCAGATACTACAGCTATTCAAAAAAACCTCCCACTTAGTTTGAGGTCTGACAGATTTTACTTATCACCACCCAATCTGCCAGGCAGCTAAGAGGCCCATTTGACTGATGATTAGACACTGGTCTTTACAGAATAAACCATCATCACCTAGAGCACATTTATCTCTACCTCCCCTCCTGGCAGCACTTCGAGACTTCTCTGTTTGTTTTTTAAGCAAACGTATTAATCCAGAGAAATTTCTATTCATAAGAACATCTGCCTTGACTGGTGTGGCTTAGTTGGGTGTCATGCTGTGCATCAGGAGGAGGTTGCCAAGTCGATTCCTGGCCAAGGGCAATCCTTCTCTCTCTCTCTCTCTCTCTCTCTCTCTCTCTCTCTCTCTCTCTCTCTCTCTCTCTCTCTCTCTTCTCTCTCTCTCTCTCTCCTCTCCTTTCTTTCCAAAAAAAAAAAAATCAATAAAATATTTTTTTAAAGAACATCTGTTGTTGTCAACATCTGCTGCTGACAAGTGTTCCCAAATGCAAAAGCAACTTAATATCCAATTATCCTCTATGCTCCACAATGCCCCAGGGCGATAGGCTAACGTATAAAAATAGCTTTATTCATCCCCATCCTCCCTTTCAAATTGACTGTAAGAGAAATACATTGCCTCTGACCAGCAGCTATCAATGTGGCAATGAAAAAATTGTTGGAATGTTGATAATATCCTACTCCCTATATTCATGGTACTTTATGATTTATAAAGCATTTTCATATATGATTTTTAAAAAGGAAGGCATATTGTTCACATACTAAATGCCACTGAATTGCACATTTTAAAATGGCGAATTTTATCACAATAAAAAAGGAAGGCATTATAAAAAAAATTATTCATATTTTACAAAGGAGAAAACTATTGCTCAAAAACACCAAATGGCTTGCTAAAGGCCACATAAATATTAAATGTCTCACTAGGCACTAGTCACAACAGCCAAAATATGGAAACAACTTAAGTGTCCATCAATGGTGAGTGATAAAAATATGAGACACGCCGGAACAGTGATAAAAATATGAGACACGCCAGAACTGGTTCGGCTCAGTGGATAGAGTGTCGGTCTGTGGACTGAGAGGTCCCAGGTTCGATTCTAGTCAAGGGCATGTACATTGGCAGCTGGTCAATGTTTCTCTCTCATCAGTGTTTCTAGCTCTCTATTCTTCTCCCTTCCTCTCTGTAAAAAATCAATAAAATATATTTTTAAAAAAAAATATATATATATATGACACACACACACACACACAATGGAATATATATAACTCAGCCATGAGAAAGAAGGAAATCCTGCCATTTACCACAATGTGGATAAACCTTGAGGACATTATGCTAAGTAAAATAAGTCAGAGAAAGACAAATACTGTATGATATCACTTATATGTAGAATCTTAAAAGACTGAACTCAGAAATACCAACTAAAATATCAATTACAGGACTGAGGAGAGGGGAAGAAGAGGAAAGTTGGACAGAAGGTACAAACTTGCAGTTATAAATGATTAAGTTCTGGGGATCTAATATACAGCAGAGTGATTAAAGTCAGAAACACTGTATTACATACTTGAAAGTTGCTGAGAGAGTAAATCTTACATGTTCTCATTACAAAAAAGAAATGGAAATTATGTGACGGAGGTGTTAACTAATGCTATGGTGATAATTATTTTGCAACATATAAGTGTTTCAAATTAACACATTGTACAACTTGAATTTGCACAATGTTATATATCAACTAGAGACCTGGTTTACACATTTGTGCACTGGTGGGGTCCCTCAGCCTGGCCTGCACCCTCTTGCAATCCAGAACCCCTCAGGGGATGTCAGATAGCGGGTTTCGCCCTGATCCCCACAAGCCCGATCCGGACAGGAGGGAGCCCGATCCTGTGCACTGAGCATCTGTCCTCTGGTGGTCAGTGTGCGTCACAGCGACCAGTCATTCGGTCGTTTGGTTGCTTAAGTTTTCCCCCTCCAATAAAATGGGAGGGGGAAATTAAGTGGAATTGCTGGGCCCAAAACCCAGGTCTTTCTGAATCTAAAGCCAGACTTTTTTCCATCACAATCCACTGACCACAAGCCTCTCCACCCTCTGCTTCCATCTGACCCTCTTCCCCTGCTTCTTGGACCACCTTCCCACTACCTAATAATAGCTATGGTTAGCAATTCTAGTACAGATTCTTACCCAACATTCCAACAGTAAATTTTTATTTTTTAAAAAATTATTTTTAATTGGAGAGAGGGAGAGAGAAACATCAATGTTAGAGAGAGACATTAATGTGAGCGAGAAACACTGGTTAGTTGCCTCCTGTACGTGCCCTGACTGGGGATGGAACCCACAACTTGATATGTGCCCTGACTGGGAATTGAACCTGCCACTTTTTTGTATGTGGGATGGCATACCAACCAACTGAGCCACACTGTCCAGGGCCGAAGGGTAAATTTTAAAAATATACTTTTTTTATTGATTTTTTTTTAAAAAATATATAGAGAGGGAGAGGGATAGACAACTAGAAACATTGATGATGAGAGGAACATTGACCAGCTGCCTCCTGCAAACCCCCCACCAGGGATGTGCCCACAACCAATGTACATGCCCTTGACCGGAATCAAACCTGGGACCTTTCAGTCTGCAGACCAACGCTCTATCCACTGAGCCAAACCGGTTTCGGTGAAGGGTAAATTTTTAAGTGGATAACATCTTTTATACCAGCATGACCACCTTCGTCCCACCCCTAAATCAAGATAGAAAGAGAAAACTGCCTCATAAAGAGTCTGGACACCAAGATGGAAGTTTCCCAACACGAGACAGGTGTCACACTCACAGTGTATCTGGCCTTCCAGACAGGCACCTGGCAAGGGAGAATATTGAGGTATTTCCGAGGCTGGCGGTAATCCCAGAACTGGAAGAAAGAAAGAAAGAAAATTTGTGAAATAAATGCCATTAAAACTACTGAAATACGAACAGCCTTTGGACTCATTGTTTTGTCTTCTAAAGCAGCGGTCGCCAACCGGTGGTCCGTGAGGTCCAAAAGGCTGGCGACTGCTGCTCTAAAGATACATTTCAGTAGTGCATTCCAGTCTCCCCCACGCCATGCTACTATTGCAGAGACACAAGAAAGCCTTGCCTCCACACTCATAACCATTCCCGGAGAATTTTCGGGCTTCATGAGGACCGCACTGGGGCAGATCACTATCAGCTTGTCTATTAAACAACATTCTTAGCTGAAAGGTAAGCGTGACATGTTTTCACCCTTTGTCACTTTCACAAGTAGGTAATTTAACTAACAACAATAGCTGTACTGTACTAACTACTTATTGCATTTTGATTTAAAACTTTTGAGTTTTTATCCTATTAAATCTTTACAACAACCATACAATGAGTGTTATGAATCTCTTTTGCAAACGGAGAAGCTAAAATTACTAACCCATGGAACTTGCCCAACGTCACACAGGGAAAAGGTGGCTATGCAACTATCTGTGTGCACACCAATCCACTCATTCACCCACGCTTAGATGGAAGGTGTAGGACTTGAAGTTGCAGTTACACAAAGTAAGCCAGATACAAACTCTCCCTTAGAGATGGTACCTGTGCTTGCAATGGAGAGACAAACATACTTGGAGTGCAGCACTCGTCATGAGAGCAGAAAATGGCAAAGCACCATGACAGGAGTACCAATAATGAAACTCCGAATTATTGAAGTATTAAGAAATTATTTTTAAAAACAGACAGAAGCCACTCTGGAAAACAGCTTTGTAATTTCTTTAAAGTTAAATGCACACCTACCATAAGATCCAGTGATCCCACACCTACATATTTATCTAGAAAACTGAAAATTTCTATTTACAAAAAAATCTATAAATGTATGGTTATAGCAGCTCTATTTGCAACCACCAAAAACTGGAAACAGTCCAAATGTTACCTAGTGTGTCAACAGATAATAAATTGTAGGATATCCATACAATGGATTATTACTCAGCAGTAAAAAGTATAAGAACTATTGATTTTTTAAAAATTAATCCTTACTTGAGTTTATTTTTCCCATTGATTTTTAGAGAGAGCAGAAGGGAAGGAAGGAGGGAGGGAGAGAGAAACATCAATGTGAGAGAGACACACATTGATTAGTTCCCTTCTGCACACGGCTGGGGATCGAACCTGGAACCCAGATATGTGCCCTTGACAGGATATCAAACCCGTAACCCTTAAATGCACAGGCCAGGGCAGAACTATTGATTCTTCAAACAACTTGGACAAATCTTAAAGAAGTTATGCTGAATGAAGAAGCCATCCTCAAAAAGTTACATACTACATGATTCCATTTTAAATGACATTTGCAAAACACAAAACTATAATGATGGAGAACGGAAGTTAGGTTGTCAGAAGTTAGGGGTTCGGGAGAGTTTAACTATAAAGGCATAACATGCAATAATTCTTGTTTCTTCTGACAACTCTATTTTGCCAAATCCAGGCCCTATACTCAAACACTTAAAAACTGTTAAGATGTCTTTTCCATCTAAACTGCTTTTGGGTTTCCCTGATGGCCATAATGTAAACTATAACTTTCTCAACTTATAAAAGGGAAACTAGAAATATTAGAGAGGCTGGGCATTCTCCAGATTTGTAATTAGCTCAATACCATGATTTCATGCTATCAAGTCCACCATAATGGAAAAACTAGCAAGTGGAAGAGAAGTCCCACCTCCCTGGGTTAATTATCTACAACTAAAATATTGTTACTATGAATGCATTTCAGTTGTATACTTTTCAAGTTAGAAACAAAGGTTGGCATGACAATTAACAAAATTAATCCTTTTTTAAAAAAAATGATTTTGCTTCTAGGTTTAAATATAGTCAACAGTTGATGACAATTATAACATACCATTGATGGGATAAATGGGAGGATGCTGGAGAGCTGACAAAGTCCTCACTGTTCATAACAAATACTTATTCTCAAAACAATCAGTGATGGAGTCTTATGACATGGTCACATGTTACATGTGACTAGAGGTCTTCTCTATGTTTCTCTCTGATAGAGTCTGTTATTATAATACATTAATCAGAGCCATGCCGTCCTCCCATCTGCTTTTCTCTTACCACTGCCAAAGGGCCCCCGCTATAAGTTACAGATCAGAAAGGAAGTTTTCTGAAGAACTATAAAAAAGATTTTAATCAAGAAAGAAAGAACCAGGCTCTTGAATAGCCTCAGGGGTACAGATTCTCAATAAGGCTGACCTTGATCCGTGGCCAAACACTCATCTCTCAGAATGTACCCAAAGAATGGTGCTTGGATTTCCAGGACTCAGTCTAAGACAATTTTCTGAAATAGACTGCTTAAACCAAGATCAGGAAAAAACCAATTTCATTGTGGTTATTGTTCTATTTTTAATGGCTATGTAAGAAAAATCCTTTTTAAAAAATAATTTCCCTTCTTCTTAATTCAAGAGTTTTATGGTTAACAATTTACAAACTGTAGTGTAACACTCATTCAATGCTTGTTCCAGCTGATCCCAGAGAATTCAGAAACTAAAAATACAATGAAAATTATTACTACAAATTATAAACTAATAAATTGTCAGGCAAATGTAAAAAAAATGATTGTGTAGGGGTAATGACATACTCATCCTTATCTACAAATCAGTAAAAATAATGGTTGAATATTATACAATGTGCCTCAAAATTATTTTACTTTTTACATTGTTATTTGTATACTGAGTGGCCAGATTATTATGATCTCTGAATGCATAATAATCTGGCCACTCAATGTATATCCTATATAATAAAAGGCTAATATGCAATTTGTCCCCTTAACCAGGAGTTCAACCAGAAGGCAGGCAGGCCAACTGCCATGTCCCCTCCCCCTGGCCAGACTGGCCAAACCCCACCCATGCACAAATGCATGCACCAGGCCTTTAATACACACACACACTGAGTGGCCAGATTATTATGCGTTCAGAGATCATGATTAACTGGCCACTCAGTGTATACATTCAATAAAAACTGTCTTCCTGCCGAAACTGTTTGGCTCAGTGGATAGAGTGTTGGCCTGCGGACTGAAGGGTCCCGGGTTCAATTCCGGTCAGGGGCATGTGCCTTGGTTGCGGGCATATTCCCAGTAGGGGGTGTGTAGGAGACCGTTGATCGATATTTCTCTCTCATCAATGTTTCTAGCTCTCTATCTCTCTCCCTTCCTCTCTGTAAAAAATCAATAAAATATATTTAAAAAAACAAACAAAAAAACTGTCTTCCTTCTTACCAGAATATAGTGGAATAAATAAGTAAAATGACAAAAATTTCATTTAATTCATAAGCAAAACCTATGGGTAAGGAACAAGGACTGTGTTTCACTTGTGGATCTTGCTTGTTATGGAATCTCAGCCTCACAGGAAGTAAAAATGTAAATGAACAATGACAAACTTGGGGACCTCAAAGATAGAAGCAGAGATGAATTGGTTGGTATCTGGTTCCTGAACTTGGAAGACAAGCTGATCTGGAGGGAATGGGGAACAAAAATCCAAATCTAAAACAAAGAAACAAGAAAACCACATCTGGCACATAAACATAAATTATAACTCTGGGGGATTTACAAATCTCAAGAGAGAAGTTAACTTTCAAGCCTTAGTGTATATGGTTTTACTTTTGCTAACCATACCAAAAAGACAAGCATGCCTATGAAAATAAAGAAAAACATTAAATTAATGATGCCGAATCACAAAATTGCTAAGCAAATTTCTGTGGTTAAGTCTCTGATCTTCCAGGCAGAGGCCTGACCACAAGGAGGAAGTGCAGAGCGAGGCCCTGTATCCTTTGAATAAGGGGCACACACATCACATGTCACAAAGAAGAAAAACAAACAATAAGAAACACTATACTCTGAGATAAACAAAAAATAATAAAGTCACCATGAACCTTGAGCATTTCCTGTAAGTCAAAGAATCTCTAATAAAACAACTCTATTCCTAATTTCTGCAATGCTGATGTCTGAAGATACTTTATAATAGTCAAATGAGAAAACTGCTGTTTTTCCACCCCAGGTAGACTAAAGGTAAACTTGATAACCTTAACAATTCTGTGGGTTTTTCTCCTTTCCTTATATGTCTGTTGTGGTTTTTCTTTGCTGAGTCAGTCCTGAAATCCCACTTCCTGGCAACTTCTTTGTAAGTAAACTTCTTTTCCTTTCTAAATGCTTTTGTTTCTGACTTCCTTTCACAAGGAGAAAGGAATAAAGTCCAGGATCACATCAGATATTAGAGGCCTGATGTATGAATTTGTGCATGGGTGGGATCTGGCCATCCTGCCCCAATGGGGGACCATCAGGCTGGGCTGGCGGGGGTGGGGTGAGGGCCCCCCCCACCCCGCAAGGGGCTGCAGGCAGTTGCCAGCTGGCCCCATCCCCAATTGGGGTATTGGGGACCAGTTGGGGGTGTGGCTGGTCAAGGAGAGGGGTGGCAGGTGGTTGGTCAGCTGGCCCCACCTCCAATCCGGTTGTTGGGGGCCAATCCAGAGTGGAGCCAGCCAGTAGTGGGGGTTGATTGGGGCCCGGATCAGGCTGGTTGGCTGCCGCAGTATGCATCATAGCCACCGGTTCTGCTGCTCTGGTCTCTGGGCTTTTATATTATACCATGTGTGTGTGTGGGGGGGGGGTATATGTTTATCTATCTATCTATATATATATATATATATAGATAGATAGATAGATATAGATAGATATATAGATATATATAGATATGCTACTATATCTATATATAGATATACTATATCACTCCTACTAGTCTACATAACAGGGTTTACTTGCTCAGGTCTCCAACAAGCACATGTACCCCTGAAACACACAGACTGACTGCACCAACAGACTTTCCTTCAGAATAAAATGCTACCTTCCAAACACAAACTGATGCCTCCCAAACACAGCTCCCCAACTTCCCCCTGGGGTACCACTCACCTTGACAGAATTATCTTGACTGGAGGTAGCAAGAATGTGCTCGCTGTCTGGGTGCCAGTCCAGGCCGTGGATTTTGGACAGATGGGCTGCTAGATACTCCACTGCTGTGCTAGGTTTCTGCAAAAGACCAGCACATAGTATTGTCTTTTTAAAAAAAAAAACTCGAGTTTACCACATGGTCTGCAGGGTGATAAGCAGGGATACAAAAAACGCTAGATACCGTCTCTATGTTAACAAACGACTCTGTTTTGTTTACAACAAACAACAATGCTTATCCTGCTCTCCTTCACCCATGCTCTGTATATGGCTCTGGGAGCCTAATCTCTTTCTGCTCCAGCCCTGAATGGCTTTCATGAAGGATACGAAATAGTGGAGACTTTTCCCCTTTAGTATTATGGTCTGCAATTCTTGCTCCCCTTCCTCACAATCACCCAAAAAGAGGGGCTGTGATGTCCAAACAGATCCAATGTCAATCCTGAAAACTTTCAATATTAATGTGACCAAGACCCCAGAAGAGAATGAACACACAACACAAAAGAAAACAATACACAATTAATAAGCATATAAAAATGAACAAGTTCAAAAGGAAACCTCAAACAATACATTAAAATATGTTTAAGCTATCAAATTACAAGATACCTGTAAATAATACTCAATGCAGTCTGCATTTATCACTGCTCGTGCATATATAAAATACCAAAACCTTTTTTGGAGGGGGATTTGACAAATTTTATCAAGAGACTTAAAATTTTCCTTTCTCAAGGGAATATTCCAAATTCACAGAAAGCTTTAGATACAAAAGATGTTCATCTTAGTGTTACATGGAATACCAGAAAACCAGAAACAATACAAAGAGTAAGTGGGGAATAATCGAAATTTTTATATCAATTTTAGAAAAGCTTTCTGATACATTATACTTAGAGCCTAGCCGGTGTTGCTCAGTGGTTTAGCGTCGGCCTATGAACCAGGAGGTCGAGGTTCGATTTCTGGTCAAAGCACATGCCTGTGTTAGGGGGTCCAATCCCTTGTGGGGAGCATACAGGAGGCAGCCAATTGATGATTCTCTCTCATTACTGATGTTTCTATCTCTCCCTTTCTCTCCCTCCCTCTCTCTGAAAGCAATAATAACTTTTTTTTTTAAAGTTATATTTAGAGCACTGGCCTGGGGACTCAGTTTCTTGCAGCACCATCCTGAACACCAAAAGGTTGGGGGTTCAATTTCTGGTCAGGACATATACCTAGGTTGGGGGTTTAATTCCCAGTCCAGGCACATAGGGGAGGCAATCAATCAAAGTCTCTCTCTCACATCAATATTTCTATCTCCCCAATTCCCTTCCACTATCTCTAAAAATCATTAAAAAAATACCCTTCGATGAGGATTAACAACAAAATTAATAAATAATTATTTCTAAAAAATTAATACTTAAGAGTTTATAACATGAGGAAAATGAAATGTTAAATGAAAAAAGTATACATAACTACATATATGATATGATAAACCATGAAAAATGCAGGAGAAAATAAAATACTAAAACGTTAGCATTTGTCTCTGGGTAACAGGACTATGAATGATTATTTTCTTTTTATACTTGCTCTAAAGAGCATGTATTAGTGCAGTCTCCAGAACCAACCTCCCTGGGTTAAAATCCTAGTAACAAACTGTGCCTACGTTTACTCGTCTGCAGAACAGGGATCACAACAGTACCTACTGTAAAGACTAGTTATAAGGAGAAATAAACCAATACATATCAAGTTCTTAGAACAATGCCTGTGCATCATAAATGCTTAGTAAACATAGGTATTATCAGTCACAGTGATAATAAACTCCAACATCACCACTGATACTGCACTTTTTTAAGCCTCTGAGGCTGGCTGCCATCAGTGCTGCTCTGATACCAGAAGTGCCAGAGAAAAAAAGCCAACAGGCTTTACAGTCCATCTCAGCAGAACTCTTAAGTTATTAATAGCCAAAAATAAAGTTAAAACCCCTTAAACCAATGGATAAAAGGATTGCTGAGGGAAGTCAGGGTTATTAATGGACCAATCAAAAGACTAGGAAGGAAGAGTTTGGCCGTATGCACTTCAAGATAAGGAACACGGCTGGCGCCCTTTGGGGGCTCAGCCCATCTGGTTTTCCAGATGACCTAATAAATTTATAATTTTTTACTAAAAAAAAAAAAAAAAAAAGGTAAGGAACACAGGTAGAGTTCCCGGCTAAACACCAAAGTGTTTCTTTTGCTTATGACTCTGAAAACAGTCTATAGCAAAGAGGGATGCACTACAATTAACTTAACCACACATTTCATTTAAACTACTCACTATATTTAAATGCTATGCTACTGACAAAAAGAATAAACCCCATCACCAATTTAAGAAATAAAGGGGGTGGCCCAAACTGGTTTGGCTCAGTGGATAGAGCGTTGACCTGCGGACTGCAAGGTCCCGGGTTCGATTCCGGTCAAGGGCATGTACTTTGGTTATGGGGCACATCCCCGGTAGGGGGTGTGCAGAAGGCAGCTGTTTCTCTCTCATCGACATTTCTAGCTCTCTATCCCTCTCCCTTCCTCTCTGTAAAAAATCAATAAAATATATTTACCAAAAAAAAAAAAGAGAGAGAGAGAGAGAGAAAAAAAAAAAAAAGAAATAAAGGGGGTGGAAGAATGACTACTACCAACCTAGACTAAAGGGTCAGAGATAAAAACATACAGAAGATGCACCTGCCCAACCTCTATTTATAAAATCTCCTTGTCCCCTAAGAGATACTAAGACAGAGAGCTTCAGCCAGCACATGACTTCCTCAGCAGTCCTGGCACCCGATCCAGCAGACCCCCAATCTCTGCTTCATTCCCTCTCCGCTCTGCAACTGTTAAGACCTTATCCCCTGCTAAGAGGGAAGGGAGCAGGGCAGCCAGAAGCAAAACTAAGACTTTACAAGCAACACTGGCGTTGGGACAGACCCTGAACAAGTTTCAGGAAAACTCAAAGTAGGTACTCCCCACAAAGCTGAGGATCTCCAGCCTAGGGCATCACAAAGCAGGAAGTGGTATTTAAACCCCAGATCTTACAGGAGCATTACTACCCAATGGCCTGGCAGTTAGATGCCGGAAAGGCCCTTTCCCTGCATCATTACTGTCCCTCATGTCAACATACCAAACATCCTACATACTTTCCATTACAACGGCAGCCTAGGACCCCACACCTCTTCCTGCTTGTCCGTTACAGGAGCTGTTGGAGGGAGAACATATGGTCTGAGGCTCTTTTGGGGCTGATGAGATAACTAGGCTTCTAAGGGAAGACTTGTGCAACTGAGTACCCTGCACCTCAGTCATTTACACCAGACATATCCAGGATGGTATTTGTCCTAGAACAAATGGTTTTTGCTTTGCCATCTGGGGCAGTTGACCATCCAAGCGTAGTGTTGGGTCACCCAGGCTTGAACTCCTCAATGATACACTCACTATTATTATCAACTTTACTTTAAAGACAAGAAAATGGAAGCTTAGATACGTTTAGTGACTCATCTGATATCCTACTTATTAGTAGGAGACAGCAAAGTAGGACTCTAACTTCAGAGTCCAAGTACATTGTCTTAACCACTGGTCATATGCCTCCTACTTTCCCTGCCTTCCTTCAATGCCAATTTGATCAGGAAGCAAAGATCACCTGGTACTATGATTTGAAATGGCAATTTACCACACAGCACACAGGCAGGCTAGACTCTCAGACAAGCCCTGCTACTCACAACACCCTCGTCTTATCCTCTGGGAGAGATTAAAGGGTAACTGGGGGGAAAAGAGAGATTACTCACCCGCTTGTCCCATATCCGTACGTCCCCATCATGACTGGTGGCAAGGCAATTAGCATTTTTTTTATTCCATTTGACCTGTGAGGCACCCGCTGCAAAGAAAAATCAGGGTAGAAAGCTGCTGACCTCAACACCTTTGGAATCAGAGGATGGCACACCCAGGGGAGCTGGATAATGAGCTCTGGTTGAAATAAGCACAGAATCCCTCAAGTTTCTATAAATGCACCAACTCCACCATAAAGAGAAAAGAAAGCCAAAAAAATAAGTGAATTAAATAACACATGGGAACAGGATCAGAGTCACCTGGTAATTTCACTCGGGGGAAAAAATCTACAGGTGACCTCTGAGCAGCATCAGCTGGAAATGCAGTTTCTTAGAGAGCAGACAGTGACTGTGGCTCTGCTGGTTGGTAACTGACTCATCACACAACCTGGCTCTTCATCACCTCAATAACCAGGATTGCACTCCCAACCTCAATGCCTGTTCCTTCCCTGTTTTCTTTCTTACTTTCTTTCTTCCACCCTTCCTTTCTTTCTTTTTTTCTTTTGATGGACAGTGTTGGCAAAACAAAGCTCTGATGAAAAATAAGCTTCAGTCTTGCTCAATTCTGCCCTCAGAGGGTTGTGTGCACCCCCTTCCACCACCCCATCAGTGGTTAGACACGGCCTCTGGCCCTGCACTGAGTCAGGGAAAGGGAACACCAAGGCACTGTGTGGATTCAGGCCTTCCACACTCTGCAAACACAAAGAACAACGACAAAAGAACTGCTATCTAAGAGAGGCACACGCTGTAAGATGGCAGGAGAGGTTGAGAAATGGGAAAAACTGGGACATAGCAGCAATGATAGCTGACTCTTAAAAATAATCGAGTTAAGTTAAACAAGAACCAAACAATGGCCCTCCTTCCCACCTCTTTTTGTTCTTGCTCAGATAACATATGATAGTCCTGCTCTGACATCTCTCCCTTTGGGTGGGTGTTTATTATTGGGGATGCCATAGTAGATTCAGTGCTTTGAAGAACAACCTGATCCAAGAAGTCTGGAGAATGTGATAGATAAATAAAGGACTTAGAACCTAACAGGAAATAGAGATAAGGCCCAGAGTTATCCTTGCTTGGTTTTGGTGAGGCTATTTGTTTGGGTTTGTCTGTATTTTTGTTTTTTTCTTGAGACACAGGGTATCTTAAATCATCTAAGAATAAGTGCTGCAGACCTAGTTTTTTTTGTAAGAAAGCGTATCAGCTAGAGAATGAGTAAGAAGAGCCTGTCCATCTCCTCGTGAATGGTACTTGATGCCAAAATATAATCCTGATGATTAGGCTTCATCCCTGAGAGTAAGGTTTAACAGTTCTACACCCGAGTTCGACTCCCAGGAACTGGGAGGAACCCTCCACAAGAGCCCAGTGCAGAATCCCAGCAATAGTTCATTCCAACTGAGCAATGAAAACAGGTAGATCAGATTTCAAAGACGCAGGGCCTCCATATTAAATGAAACCAGAGAGACACATCAGCATCATCTAGATTGTGGGGAAACCACAGGACAAACAGCCTGGTTTCTTCAACAAACAAACTGCAGAAAAAAGAAAAACAAACCAAAAAAGGAAAAGGAGAAGAACCCTACCAATTAATAAAGATGAGAAGTATATCAACCACTTGCAAGTATGAACTTTACTTGGATTCTGATTCAAATAATTGTAAAAAAGGAGAAAGAGAAACAAACAGACTGACTGACTGACTGACTGCTGGGAAAATTTGAATACTGCTTAAGTATATGATAGTAATAAAAAGCTATTGTTGCCGAAACCAGTTTGGCTCAGTGAAAAGAACGTCGACCTGCAGACTGAAAGGTCACGGGTTCGATTCTGGTCAAGGGCATGTACTTTGGTTGTGGGCACATCCCCAGTAGGAGGTGTGCAAGAGACAGCTGATCCAGTGATTCTCTCTCATCGATGTTTCTAACTCTCTATCTCTCTCTCTTCCTCTCTGTAAGAAATCAATAAAATATATTTTTTAAAAGCTATTGTTAATATTTTTATGTTTGTTGATAGAAATACAATTATGTTTTTTTAAAGGATTCTTTTCTTGTAAAAAATACTTAATGAAATATTTGTTGAATGAAAGAATAACGGGGATTTGCTTCAAAATAATCCCAAAGAGGATAGAGTGGGGATGGGACAGTGGGTAGCGGTAAAGATGAAATAAAACTGGCAGTATGTTGACAACTGGTACTTCACTTTCTTCTATTTTTATACACGTTTAAAATTTTCCGCAATAAGATGTTTAAAAACAAATCAATTTGGTTCCTGTCCTTGCATCCTGAAATAAGTTGCCAACTACAACTCAATAGTCCTGACCAACTTCTAAGAGCAACCTGAAGGAAGTCCCTTGCGATATGGGCCTTAAAATTCCACCTAGCCACAATAAAACATGGGGTGTGGACAGTCAGTGTGAGAGAAAGAATGGAAGAAACAGAAGAAAGACAAATGGGGGAATATGCACTCACCTACAGCAGACAGTGCAATGGTAGGCTTCCTTGTGTCTCTGAAATATAAAAGTCAGAAATTAAATGCCCAATTCATATGCCACCCCCCCCCCCTAGTGCTTTTCACCCTCTGCACATATTTCTTCACTTTCCTTTCGGTAGGTACTCGGAGATCAGTGGGAATGGGAGAGCCTTAGAAAGACCATAAAGAGCCCTAGCTGGTTTGGCTCAGTGGATAGAGCGCAGGCCTGTGAATGAAGGGTCCTGGGACCGATTTCGGTCAAGGGCACCTGACCTCAGCTGCAGGTCTGATCCCTGGCCCTGGTCAGAGCACGTGGGGGAGGCAACCAGTCAATGTGTCTCTCTCACACCGATGTTTCTCTCTCTCTGTCTCTCCCCCTCCCTTCCACTCTCTTTAAAAAATCAATGGAAAAATATCCTCCAGTGAGGATTAACAACAAAACACACACACACACACACACACAAAGAGTACAGCATGGCCTGGGTGACCCCGATGTAAGAGCAGGAAAAGCCAAAAGAACACCTTCCTGGTGACATTTCTCTTAACGGAGCAAGTGGACAGTCATGGAGGGGTAACTCTGCAAGAATCTTACCAAAGCATTTCAAAGGTAAAGTAAAAAACTACTCTGGGCCGAAACGGGTTTGGCTCATTGGTAGAGCGTCGGTCTGCGGACTGAAAGGTCCATGGGTTCAATTCCGGTCAGGGGCATGTACGTTGGTTGCGGGCACATCCCCGGTAGGGGGTGTGCAAGAGGCAACTGGTCGATGTTTCTCTCTCATCGACGTTTCTAGCTCTCTAGCTCTCTTCCTTCCTCTCTGAAAAAATCAATAAAATATATTTTAAAAAAAAAACAAAAAAAAAAAAAACTACTCTGGGTATTCACGTTAACCGAGAGGTGGAAGCAACCCAAGTGTCCATCAACTGACGAGTGGATACACAAAATGTGTTATATACATATAGTGGGCTCTTATTAGGCCTTAAAAAGGAAGGAGATTCTGTCACACGCTGCAACATGGATGAACCCTGAGCACATTATGCTAAGTGAAATAAGTCAGTCACAAAAGGATTATATATATATAATATATATTAGATAACGGTGTGATGATAGCCAGTGGAAAAGGGGGGTAAGAGTAGGTAGGGTGGGGGGAGAAGGAGGTAGGCAAATGGGGACAGAAAGAGACTTGACTTTAGGCAATGAGTGTACAATGCAGTGTGCATATGATATTTTGCTGAGTTGTGCACTTGAAACCTATATGGTTTTGTGAACAATGTCATCCCAATAAATTCAATTTTTAAAAAAAGAGAGCTTCAAGCACCTTGAGGTGCTAACCTGGAGGGAATGCCAGTGACGTCAGCCGTACACATCCTTGCTCCTAAGAATCCCTTTCACTGGTCCATCAGATCTCAATACCTGGCCTGTCTTCTACCTACAGTCCACTGTTCAGTGTAAAGTGTCACAAAACCACTGCCATTTGGGAGCAGCGCAGCCTGGGGAGGGCAAAAAATGACCATCTCCGGACTCTACAGAAGACTATACCCACTAGTTAGTCACCTCTGTTACGATAAAGAGAACTTTGCTTTACAAAGCGAGAGGGGAAGTGGCATTTATTAAGAACTTACACAACAATGTGGTGAAGGCCTTGGGAGGGATGGGCACGGATCCAGGATGAAGGAGGCCAATGGGGGTGGGGGGAGAGAAGAGGACATCTGTAATACTTTCAACAATAAACTTAAAAAAAAAAAAAAAAAAAAAAAAGAATTTACAAAGTGCTCTGGCTGGTGTGGCTCAGTTGGTTGGAGCATCAGCCCATACATGAAGGGGTGGTGGGTTTGGATCCCAGTCAGGGCACATACCCAGGTTGAGGGTTCGATCCCCAGTCAGGGCATATGTAGGGGGCAACCCATCGATTTCTCTCTTTCTCTCTCTCTCTCTTCCCCTCCCCCCATTCTCTCCCTCCTCCTCCTTCCTCACACATACACTATTCCTTGAAGAAATTAATTTTAAAAATATATTTAAAAAAATAACTTACAAGGTGCCAGGCCTGGGCTGGGTGCTCTTTACCCCATGAAGAGTATCTCTACCAGGTGGCCCTCAGCCACACTCACAGATGGGGAACTGAAGCCTCCCAAAGAGCAAGTAAAGAGCTGAGCAGATGTTCTTTTTTTTTTTTTTTTTTTTTTTTTTTAAATAATTTTATTGATATTTTACAGAGAGGAAGAGAGAAGGATAGAGAGTTAGAAACATCGATGAGAGAGAATCATCGATCAGCTGCCTCTTGCACACACCCTACTGGGGATATGCCCGCAACGAAGGCACATGCCCTTGACTGGAATCGAACCCGGGACCTTTCAGTCCACAGGCCGACGCTCTATCCACTGAGCCAAACCGGTTTTGACTGAGCAGATGTTCTTGAAGCACTGCCTGCAGTAGCAGCTGTGTGTCTGTGTCCATAAAATCCCCCGCCCTCACTTGCCACTTCAGTAGACTCCAACCTGACTTCCACATGCCAAAAATCTCCCTGGCTGCTGAAGACCAGTAACCGCTGTGACAGGACTGAGTGCAGAGAAATAAGGCCCTGGGAATAATCAATGACTGACAGTGAACAACACCCCCACTTCCTTAGCCCTGGGGAGGGAGCCTCTGAGGAGGGAGTTTTACTGGAGCGCCTAGCAGTCCCCGTAAGACTCAGCCTCGCTGGTCCACAGTGGTCCACAGGTGGATAATGCGCCCTCTATTTGTGGCCTTCCCCATCCTGTCTCTTCTCCATCCCCTACCACATTTCATTCAACTCCTAAATAATGTATCTGCCGAGTATCCTTGTCTCAGGGTCTGCCATCTAGGGGGCACCAAACGAAGATACCTGACCTCTAAAATGAAGCTACCAAATCACGCACAACCACGTGGCTATGCCTCTTCATCGTTCTTACTTGATATCCCAAATGTAGATGTAGGTATCCACAGAGCTGGTAACGAGGAGATCCGGTTCAAACACTGCCCAGTCCAAGTCGCTGGGAACAGAGAAATGAACAGATCAATGAGGAGGAAAAAAATTCAGCGTCTGATTCCAAAGCAGTAGCAGATTTAGTCTCCAGTGGTTTCAGAATGTCATTTAATGGGCCTCTTAACACGGTTTAGGCTGGAAATCTCCAACGTTCTTTGGGAATGAACAAGACTTAACTGAGCTAGGAAAGAAACATTCAGGTCCTTCCCGGTCATCTAAAGCTATATTACACGTGCTCCGGAACAGAAATGGAGTGTTTCAACTTAAAACACACATGCACACACGCACACATGCAGGCACAAACTGTACAGACAAAACAAGGAAAATTTCTGACTTTTCATTTTCTGAATCAGACTCAGCCACAGGTACAGTGAGTAAATCCAATGTCCCTTAGCAGTGGCAAGCTGCCATGCTGCCAGCGGGCCTCCAGTCCCCTATTTGTGCCCTAACGTCTAGAAAGGCAATTACTACATGAACAGGAAGCAGAGGTAGGGGTCTAGCCCTTCCCACCACTTCACCACCCCTGCACTCCCTGCTGCTACTTCCCAGAACAAGCTTTCTCCACCCAGAAACAGGGGTACAGGGAAGGCCATGAGTGGAAGGGAACTGCGTGACTGGATGATGGAGCCCTATGCGGTCACGCCCAGCTGCTGGAGAAAGGGCACAGACTGCTCCCAGATGTCTCTATTCCTGGCCACCGCCGACTCTGACCTGAGGCAGTGGTTCTCAACCTTTCTAATGCCGCGACCTTTAATACAGTTCCTCATGTTGTGGTGACCCCCAACCATAAAATTATTTTCGTTACTACTTCATAACTGTAAATTTGCTACTGTTATGAATTGTAATGTAAATATTTGTGTTTTCCAATGGTCAAAAACAAGGGAAATGTCTGATGGTCAACCTTGCTAAGGTTCTCAACCTGTGGGTCACGAGGGATTATGGTCCTGAGAAATTATGGCATAACTTCTCCCTCCTGTGGAAAAAGTCAGCTCTAATCCTTACTCTGTACCTGTCTCAGTATTTTCTAGGATCAGGGTTAATACTACATGAATGCTGGTTCCTAAATACCAGAGTTTTCCACTATGAAAGCCCATCAGCTCAGTACCAGCGACCTAACAGCTACCCAGGCCAACACAACACAGAGAACCAAGCTGTGGGAGGAGGTGGGTGTTTCCATCTCGCTCCCCAGGGAGCTGCCGAGGGCTGGTGCCTACCTGATTACACGAGTATGGCCCTGTAAGGTTGTGCCAACTTCCCCAATGCCGTCTTTCCACTTATAGAGGTCGACCCGTTGGTTACTCTGAAAAAAAAAAAAAAACCAAGAGAAAGAAGGCATCAGAATATATGCTCTCAACCCAATCTGCTTAAGGCCAAGAAAGGGAAGCCATGTCGAAACTAACTTGCATGGCAAAGATCCTACAGACTGAGATGTGAGTAAGGGTAATGGAGATGTCTCCAGACCACTAGAGGAACCTCCTCTCTATTCTGAAGGTCACACACCCATCTCTCTCCAACTGCTGGCACAGCAGATATTTTTAGCTCACTCTTACCATTATCGAGTGCCTAGAGTCAACCTATTTAATTAACTGATGCTTTGAAAACACAGATGCACAAGAAAAAGAACAGAAACACCATCAAAAGGATGTCCAAGAAGGCAAAATTACATAAGACAGCTTAAAACAGGCCTATATCAAATTTATTTATTTATTGTTATTATAATTTTTAATCCTCACCAGAGGATATTTTTTTCCATTGGTTGTTTTTTGGTTTTTGGTGTGTTTTTTTTTACAGAGTGTAAAGGAGAGGGAAAGACAGAGAGAAACATCAATGTGAGAGAAATACAACGATTGGTTGCGTCCTATAGGAGCCCTGACCAGGGCCCGGGGAGGAGCCTGCAACCAAGGTACATGCTCTTGACAGGAATCAAATGCAGGACCCTTTTGACCTACAGGCCAACACTCTATCCACTGAGCCAAAGCGGCTAGGGCTCAAATTTCTTAAATGACTTAAACAGAACGACACAGAAAAATGGGGCCAATAGAAACAATAGTTACAATAGGAAAAAAAGAAGAAAGCTTTGATCAAACTATATTTCACTTAAAAACACAACAAACCGGCAAAGACTCCTTAACCGTCATGAGTTTATGAAACACACTGATAGTGACTAAAGGTTACTAATTAGCTGTTTAATAATATATATATGACTGATTTTCATTTTAGTTCAGAGTCATATAGATGGGTAAGACTTTGAGATTTTTATCCTGGAATGCCTGATTCTAATTCTAAATCAGTAAGATTGCTGTGAAAAGATCAGGATTCAAAATAGCTTCCACTGGGACTAAGAATGAAAATAAATTCCCTTCATCTTACCATATTCCCTGCCATTTCCAAAGGGTTTGCTCAATGAACTAGCACATTAACAGACGAGTCCGCTGGTCTTTCTCACCACACTACACATTGGGTGTCATCACCTAGGTCTCATATAGATGAGGCAACTAAGGTTTAATCAACTGATGCTCAAAAAGAAAAAAAAATCAATAAATTGAACTTCATTAAAATTAAAGCTTTTATGTGGACATTATCAAAAAAATGAAAAGGCTCTGGCCAGGTAGCTCAGTTGATTGGAGCATTATCCCAATGTGCCGGGACTGCAGGTTCAATCCCCAGTTGGGGCACATATGGGAGTCAACCAATAAATGCATAAGTGGAACAACAATCAATGTTTCTCTCTCTATATCTATCTTTCTCTAGAATCAATAAATAAAAATTTTTTCAAAAGAAAGTGAAAAGAAGTACAGAAAATATTTGTAAATCATAGATCTGATGAGGGTCTAGTGTCAAAGTATATAAAGAACTGGCCGGTATGGCTCAGTTGAGTGTCATCCCACGCACCAAAAGATTGCCAGTTCGATTCCTGGTCAGCACAGATGCCCGGGTTACAAGCTTAATCCCTCTTCCTTCCTCTCGCTCTCAAAACCAAGAAAAATATTTTTTAAAAAGAACTATTACAATTCAAAAGCAAAAATACAAACAACCCAAAACAAAAATGGGCAAAGGACTTGGATAAATATTTCTCAAAAAAAAAGACATACAAATGGACAACAGGCCCATGAAACAATGCTCAACATCATTAAGGAAATATAAATCAAACCCACAGTGAGGTACCACTTTATACTCACTAGAATGGCTAAAAAAAAATATTTTAATTTAAATACAACAGGATGTAACTACTTTTGGTGACAATGTGGATAAAATGGAACCGTTATGTATTGCTGGTGGGACTGTAGAACAGTTCAGTCACTGCAGAAAAACAGTTTCATAGTCCCTCAAAAAGTTAAATACAGACTTATCACATGACCCTGCCATTCCACTCCTAGATATATACTAAAAAGAAGTGAGCCCAAGTGGTGTGGCTCAGTGGTTGAGCATCAACCTATGAACCAGGAGGTCATGGTTCAATTCCTGGTCAGGACACATGTCCGGGTTGCAGGCTCGATCCCCAGTAAGGGGTTGTGAAAGAGGCAGCTGATCAATGATTCTTTCTCAGCATTGATGTTTCTCTCTCTCTCCCTCTTACTTCTTCTCTCTGAAATCAATTTAAAAAAAAGAAAGAACACTTTCCTCTGAAAGTACTGAATATCAAGCACAGCTGAGCTCACTAGTTCCCCCTCAAAACGTGTTTCAGCCGAAGCCGGTTTGGCTCAATGGATAGAGTGTCAGCCTACGGACTGAAAGGTCCCAGGTTCGATTCCGGTCATGGACATGTATTATATCTTGGTTGCGGGCACATCCCCGGTAGGGGTTGTGCAAGAGGCAGCTAATCGATGTTTCTCTCTCATCGATGTTTCTAACTCTCTATCCCTCTCTCTTCCTCTCTGTAAAAAATCAATAAAATATATTAAAAAAAAAAATAAAGACGTGTTTCAGCATCACTGGCTAGTGACATTGCTGCTAATGAAAACAGGTCTCATCACACAAAGAAGTAGAGGACATCTACCTTTTCCCTTGCAAATCTGGATTCAATCCTTAGAAATACGAAGTCTTTTTACACCTATGGTACCAATAAAACCTTTTCATATAATAACCTCTATCTTCCTTTCAGAACCACCCACACCTCTTTTCCGCCTGAGAAATGAGGGTTTCATTCTCTTCTCTAAAGAGGACATACACCTTTAAGCCCCAGACCACACATTTAAAAGCCCTTTCAGATAGTCCCTAACTAAGCTCACCGAAGCCGCGAAGTAGTGTGCAAAGCTGTCGTGAGGATTCCACTGCACAGCTCCAATGTCCCACTTGCTCTGGCGAGAGATCTTGCGGTGACCTTCGAAAGGGGCATCTAGATTAACGATGTACAGGAACCGGCGGCTAGGAGAACAACATATCATGGTGACGCTATAATCGCATTAGCATTAAGATAGAAAAGAACATTTAGAATTACATATGATTTGTGAGCAGTGCTCAAAAAAAAAAACCCAGATATACTGACCATTTATCTACTATGAAAGGCATGCAAGCGGCAGGAGTAACTAAGGTGGCTGTTAGACAAGCAGGAGCTGCATCCCTGTGAGTCTTCCTCTACAGATCGTCTTCCCCACCACAAATCTACCCATCACACTCAGCTCCAACCCTGCCCCTCTCCTAGCCTTTCCCAGCGCGGACAGACACTGCTTCTACATTACTCCCAGTATGTGGTTTGCATTTTGACTGCAGCCTTTGCCTCTGTAGCAGAACTACTAATGTTAGGACTCTCATCCTGAACCAAATAAAGGTTTGGAGTATGGACCAAGTCTCGAATATCTTTATATGTCCAGAATCACTAAGGCACAGAGTTTACCACGCTTTAACAAATGCGTGTTAAATTAAACTTATCATTTGGCCAAATATCCTGTAGAAAAACCTCAATTTCCCTTATAAGTCATCTACCTGAAAGGGAAACTAAATGAAATCTAACAGGAGGGGAAATAACAACAACAAAAAATAATGAAAATAACATATCAAGTGTCAATAATGTTCAAGGTACCAATCAATATCAACGAAATGAGAACAGGAATGTCCTGTGTTCGTTTATTTTTCCTTTTTTTTTTCTTTTTTTGCTGTGTAAATTAACATTTCAGCAGCCACTGGCTATCAAGCCCCTGGATATTAATGAATATAGATAGGCTCAAAAAAAAGGATTAACAGTCCCTAATCAGAAAAGATATGAAATGGAAAGTTAAAATGGCATGGAAAACTAGCAGAAACCCTAAGAGAGATAGTTAAGGGAGAAGAAGAAATACATAGGTAGGACACAAGTTCACAGAACTTCCGAAACTTCTATAAAGTTGCTGCAGAACAAAGATCTAGAACCTCTGGCCAGCTGGCATCTTACCATTAGAACAAAAAACAGGAAAAGGCTAAGAGCTAAACATATATGAGGTGCCTGTCAACAGGAGAGTTCAGAGACATTCCAGAGCAAATACAGGACAGAAGATAAACATACACATTTATCTTCATTCTCCTTTATAGACCCATTAAAATAAGAATCTATAATATAATGGTGTCTGCTGGCAGCCAGAGGGAAGCCTGGGTCTTGGGTGCCTGACGGCGGCTGGTGGGAAGCCTGGGTCCCAAGTACCAGAGGGAAACCGGTGCCGGTTGCCAGGGGAAGGAAGGCCTGCTTTGCATGAATCTCATGCATAGGACCTCTATCTAAGAAAGGCAGCTCTAGCTGAAACCAGTTTGGCTCAGTGGATAGAGCATCGGTCTGCAGACTGAAGGTCCCAGGTTCGATTCCGGTCAAGGGCATGTACATTGGTTGCGGGCACATCCCCAGCAGGGGGTGTGCAGGAGGCAGCTGGTCGATGTTTCTCTCTCATTGACATTCTAGTTCTCTATCCCTCTTCCTTCCTCTCTGTGGAAAATCAATAAAATATATATTTTTTTAAATGTGACAAGTTTCCCACCTGCCACCACCCTATTCAAAGTACTAACCTTGTAAAATTTACTGAAAGAAAGAAAGAAAGAAAGAAAGAAAGAAAGAAAGAAAGAAAGAAAGAAAGAAAGAAAGGCAGCTCTTACCCAGGAAAGTTTAACTCTAGCTTTGGAGGAAAGAGAAAGATCAAGTTTAGCTCATGGAAGACAATCAGGCTAGCTGGTTTGGCTCAGTAGATAGAGCATTGGCCTGCAAACTGAAGGGTCCTGGGTTTGATTCCATTCAAGGGCACATGCCCAGGTTACGGGCTCAATCCCCAGTGTGGGGGGTGTAGGAGGCAGCTGATCAATGATTCTCTCCTCATTGATGTTATATCTCTCTCTCCTTCTCCCTTCTTCTCTGGAATCAATAAAAAAAAATTTTTTAATTTTTGTGCTAGAAGATACTATAGAAATAAGGTAGTTCAATTTATTCATGATAAAATCCAATTCTTTCATGAGAAAACTGAGTCCAGGGAGGCAACTGAAATGCCATAATTAATGGCATTGCCAAACAAGAACCAGGATCCCCTCAATCCTAGTAACTACCTGTTAAACTATACCAGCTGGCATCCTTCTGAAAAGTCCATGCAGTAAACAGAGAACCGCAATTACAAGATCAGTCACTAAAATTTCAAAGGAATTTTATTGCTTACTTGTTAGAGCAGAGACAAAAATAACTGCACATCATCCCTACCAGTACCCCTGAGATCAATAGGATAGCAGAACTAAATCCTATGATCGTAACCCTTAAGTACAAGAGTATTTTCTAATTTCCCAGAAACCTCTTAATTTTCCATCTGTTCCCAGAAGTCATGGCAGACAAACAGCAAGCTCACTCACCCAGAAAGCACTGCATGCTGCCCAAGACAGTCCACAGACATCGCCGTTGCCTGTGAGAGAGAAAACAGACTTAGTTCTGCTAGCAAAGCCAGCTCAGGTCGGAGAAGACAGGCAGGTTAGTCAGTCACCGTGGGTTTTTCCTCTTCCCCTGGCTAAGGCATTCCCCAGGTTTTGTCCCTTTCTAGCTCTTATCCAAATCTCACAGTCACCTTCCACAATAGGGCAGCTGCTGTTTGTTCCTTCAACACCAGGACTACTCACAACCAGTACTGGCATGTTCTAGATTGAGGAGACAGAAGTCCTAGAGCCTTTGGAGAATCTATTAATAATTGCAGCAAAGAGAGCTACTCAGAGCAAAACCTGACCTGGGACGACATCATCCCAGATCTCCCAATTCCTAGGAAGCATCATCTTTTCAGGATCCAATGTCTAATTCCCAAGAGACCACACCCAATCAAAGAGCTGCATTCAGGCCTGGTCGGTGTGGCTCAGTTGGCTGAGTGTCGTCCTATACCCCAAGAGGTTACCTGTCTGATTCCTAGCCAGGGCACACCCCAGAGTCTTGAGCTCATCACTAGTAGGGGGCATGCAGGAGGCAGCTGAATGATATTTCTCTCATTGATGTTTCTATCACCCTCTCCCTTCACCTCTTAAAAAAAAAAAAAAAAAAAATCAATGAAAACATTTTTTTAAATGGCTGCATGCAGGCTAAAGCATGAGGCTGTTTTTAATCATGGCAGCTACAGCCCTAAATTCTCTTATTTGGACAAATTCAACTCCTGCTGCATTTTCAGGGCATTATCTGAAACAGTCTGTGCTACTGTTTAGTTATTAAATGCTCTAAGTTGTTTCTAGAAACCATCAAGAAAGAGTCCACATGCTGCTACACTCACAAATCACCAGAAATTCTCTTCCTCACTCTCACTGGTCTCATTAATGGGTTTCTCCCACTCAAACGCCCTCATGAAATATGTCATAGGTAATATTGGGGACAAGAAGTCAGAGTGCTCTCTCTGGAGGCTAAAAAGTGTTTATTATGCATCCTTCATTCCACGAGAGTCGTGAGCAGAAAAAAAGCCCTACTGGAAAGGCAGGCAGTGAAATGAGATGTCATTTTCAGAACTCTACTGTGTAATTTATAGATTAAAGGCATGAAATAAAGATGGGGCCTCTAGTCCTCTCCCTCTCCCCTTCCCTCCCTTTTTCTCTAAAAGTAGTCAACAACATATATATTGTTTTTAAAAATCACATTGGGGGGGGGGGGGGAAGGAACAAAAATCACCTTGATATTTATCACAGCTTTAATCATAATTGCCAAAAACTGAAAAATACAAATTATGATCTATCTATACACTGGAATACTACTGGGCAATAAAAAGGAAGAGACTAATATGTTCAAAACATGAATGAATCTCAAAAGCACTAGGTTAAGTGAAAAAAAGCCATATTCAAAAGGTAACACACTGCCCCTGGCCAGTTTGGCTCAGTGGATAGAGCATGACCCCAGAACTGAAGGGTCCTGGATTTGATTCCAGTCAATGGCATGTACCTCAGTTGCAGGCTCCATCCATCCCAGGCCCTGATTGGGGTACATGTGGGAGGCAATCAATGGATGTTTCTGTCTTTTCTCCTCCCTTCCACTCTCTCTAAAAATCAATGGAAAGATACGTCCAACTACTTCGGACATACTGAGTTTGAACTATCTCACAGATGCTGAAGTATAGCGAACGGCAGAGAGTTGAGGTCTTTGAGTCCACAGTTCCAAACATCATACAATAATCATATCTTGTAGTATTTTTTAATTTATTTTTACTATTGAGTTAGAGACTTGTTAACATTCCACCACCTTACCTCTCTTTTAGAATGGAAACTATCCAATTTCTACTACACTTTCCAATACCATAGTCAATAGTCAAATGGTTATTTAAATGGCAATTTATGAAAATCTAATTAAAAATACAGTATCTCAGCCGAAAACCGGTTTGGCTCAGTGGTAGAGCGTCGGTCTGCAGACTGAAAGGTCCCAGGTTCGATTCCGGTCAAGGGCAAGTACATTGGTTGCGGGCACATCCCTGGTAGGGGGTGTGCAAGAGGCAGCTGGTCGATGTTTCTCTCTCATCAACGTTTCTAGCTCTCTATCTCTTTCCCTTCCTCTCTGTAAAAATAAATAAAATTTAAAAAAATAAATAAAAATACAGTATCACAGTTACACTAGCCCGATTTCAGATGTTCAATGGCTACATTTCCATCATCTCTGGATGGTGTTGCCCTAGGAGATTTTATCTAAATTTTCTTACAGTGCTAACAACACTCACTGATTCCAGGGACCACTTCAGAAAAGCTGCCACGTAGAGAGGTTCTTCACTATTCACTGTGGCAGTAACATCTCAAGGCACTGTTTTACACAGTGGATGATGCTTATATAAGCTGTTAAAGAGCTTCACCTTTCTGGCTGGGGCTTTTCCTTTTAAATATATTTTATTGCTTTTTTACAGAGAGGAAGGGAGAGAAATAGAGGGTTAGAATCATCAATGAGAGAGAAACATCGATCAGTTGCCTCCTGTACACCCCCTACTGGAGATGCGCCTGCAACCAATGTACATGCCCTTGACTGGAATCAAATCCTTCAGTCTGCAGGCCGACGCTCTATCCACTGAGCCCAACCAATCAGGGCACGGCTGGGGTTTTTCACTGGAAACCCTAAAAGCTTTAATCTTTTTAATTATTTTTTTTTAAGAGGAGGTGTTTTTAAAAGTTTATTATTTGGGCTTTCTTTTCCAAAAGACAGTATTCAGAGTTTCAACTTTTTGTTCCTACATTAATGAAATAGTTCGTGAAATGGATCTCTACCCCTCCTACTTAGCACCAGATTCAACCACAAAACCGTCCTAATTCATGCCAAGATGTACCCTTCCCACTGAATAGAAAAATCAGGAAGAACAGAAACTCCCACAAGGTAGTTAAATTACTCAATTTATTTTGACTTCTTACTTCGGCAATGGCTATTTCGGGTTAATTATTTGATACTACTTCATTGCATTCTAATATATGTGTCAGCACTCTCTCTCCGTAGGTCTCTTCAATTACATTTCTAGAGAGAAGCAGGGGTGAGACTGCCAGGGTTTCTATGAGAATTAAAGGGTTTGCAGATTAGCAGCTTCCAAATTAGCAGGTTCAGAAGTACCATACATGATTTTGCTCTTAGTCCCCAGTGAAAGCAATTAACAATATGGATAACAGGAATATGGTTGTTGTTTTTTCCCCCCGAGTCTGGCACATCCCTTGGGAGAGGAGACTCCAGGCTGACAGTGCTAAGTGCTTCAGAATCCTTTTATCAGGATGCTGCCACTCAAATTCTCCATGGGAACTATGCATCAGAGAGCACCAAGGAGCAAATTGGTGGGTGGCTCCTTCAAAAATTGTCCTTATAGTAAAATGGGACGGGGTTTTAAAAAGAAGAAACCACATCACCTCTGTTGTAATCCATTTCTCCTGCATAATAAGTCACCTGAGTATCAACACAGTGCCAGACATAGTGTGCACTTGGCCACAAGAGCCAATAAATCCTTGTTGAATAAATGAATGAGTTGAAAGCCTGGCACACAAAAGGTATTCCAGAAATCTATATATATAAAACCCTATTATGCAAATAGACCAAATGGTGGAACAACCAAACAACCAGTCACTATGACATGTGCTGAACACCGGAGGCCATGCATGGAACACGGCAGGCGTCAGCAGCAGGTGGCAGAGCACAGAACATGGCAGGTGTTGGCCACGGCGGGATGGTGGAGCAGCTGTGTGGGGACACCAGACCAACGCAGGGCACCCGTCGCTGTCATCAGGGTGAGCCTCTGGTGGTTACTGAAAATTCTTTGCTCCCATGCACCCCGGTCCCACCTGGCACTTGCACCTGCTGCTGGCACAGGCCCCAATCGCTCCGCGCCATCAGCAGGTGCGAGAGGGGCCAGTGCCATCAGCGTGTTGGAGTGATGATGGTGGGAGTGGGGCTGCCAGCAGATAGGGGAGAGGGCTGTGGAAGGAGGGTCTGGACAGGAGTGTGGAGGATGGGCTGAGACCCACCCCTGTGCCCACTGCAGCCTGGCAGCGCACAGTTCCTTTCAATGTGCACGAATTCATGCACCAGGCCCCTGGTATGTGAATAAAAAGAGTATCACTCAGACACTGTCCCAGGTGCTAGGGGAGGAGAGGGTGGGTATAATATTTATTGAAGAATAACTGTATGATAGGCTCATACAGTATGCAAGGTAGTGTAATGAGGCCAAGAAAAGTTTCAGGGCCAGATGCCCGAGTTCAAATCCCAATGCCAAACCAGGATCAGCTTCCCCATTTGGAAAAAGGGGATAACATCTATTTAATGTGTGGTTCTTTCATGAATTAATGACAGCAGTCTGGCCTAGGGAAGAAAGAAAACAGAAAAATCCCTAGGAAGGGCTAATGTTCTTTGAGACTTCCCTTGTGCCCTGTCACTGTGCCACACATTCTAAATGCATAACCTCCAAATTCCCATGCCAACCTTGTAAGGTATATAGGACTCACACTTTCTCACAGGTGAGGAAAACTAATATGCTCACAGGGTGAGGTCAGGCTAGGGACTGAGCTGGGTTCAATCTGGGCAATCCGTGCACTCACTATCCAGGATTTTCCACTCCTCTAGCATCACCAACCACTTGAAAAGCTTAGGCACTGAAAAAGGCACTTTGCATTCTGGTGTTTTTTTGTTTTTTAAATCAACTCTACTACCCCCACATCCTGTGAGGTGGGTGAAGTTCCATTGCTGGAGCTCAGAGTTCTGCGACTTGACCAAAGTCACTCACGAAGCGCGGCCCCCAGCCTCCGGGAGCGAACACCTCGTTTCCCATCCTGGCCTTCGGCGTCCCAAGAAGGCAGACCCCACTCTCCAGACCCCTGTGAATAATGCCAAAACCGTGTTCGTGCCCCCACCGCCCACTCGCACCCTCAGGTCTAACAGCTCCCAGTCACCGCCTCGCTCATCCCCGCTACACCGGCCGCAGGAGGCGCCCCGCCAACCCCGCGACGGACCCGGCAGCGTGGGGGAGGGGAACCGGGAGAGCGCATGCCCAGAAGGCTCCATTTGGCCCCCGGCTCACCTGGGAGTCGCGGAACTCCACCACCACGTTCTCGCTGCTCCATCGCGCCGCCATCTCCCACCCGAGGGTCGTCCCGTCCCTCAAACCCGCGTTTCCGAATTCGGGGAGCCCCACGCAGCCCGCAAGAGAGCCCAGCCACGCCACGCCCCCTCTCCGCCTGACTGCACACCATTGGCTATCCCACACATTGGCTCCGCCCCATCTTCCCGGTTTCTCCAATGGAGGCACTGCGTCTACCGGAACAGGCACGCCCCCTCCACTTCCGTCACTCGGCTGGGCGTCACACCAGCACCTCTCAACTGCTGACACACGCCCGCTGCCGCGAGGTCGTCTGGGAGTTGTAGTCCAAGGTCGGAAACTCTTGGGTAACCCGGGTAGAGCTGACAGAATAAGGTTTGGTCGAGGTAAGGGACGTGCTGTCCTCCCTGTCCTCTCGTAGTGCCTCAGTAAGGCTTAAGATGTCTACAATTCAAAACCCAAAGTTGGTGCAAACCAAAGGTTAGCTCTTCCCTTGAGATCTGCCATAAAGTCGTTATTGTTTCATACAATACAATAGCACTTGCCAAAGTGTTCAGGGACCCCAGCCAAAATAATTTTGATAATCATACTAAGAGGTTATTTGACTTTTTCACTTTCTTGCTCTCACGAGTGTACAGTGGAGTTTACCAGGGGCTACATATGATATATAACAGACTGAATGGTAGAAGCATATTTGAGAGGATCCAAGGGTTTGGGTGGTTGTTGTTTTTAAACGTTTATAACAGTTTATTTGAGCCAAACAGATGACATATGCCAGGGAGAAGATCTCAAATGCTACTCCAGTGGTTTCTTAATTTAGCCAGACATTAAAGAGATTTGCTACTTTTCCCACTGAAATGTTTTTGTTTTTAAAAATAGTTATTTTTCACTTATAAAATGTATTATTAATGTTTAAGTAAAATAATGAGCAAATATTTTAAATTCTAAGTTTTAATTTCTAATTACTATCAATAGATGCCCATATAAAAGTTTGGTGGGAATAGGAGTGAGATCTTTAATAATTCTTAAGAATGTAAAAGAGTCTAGAGATCAAAAAGTTTTAGAACTGCAGTGATAAGCATGAGTGGCGATTAGGTTCTCTTCTTTTATCCCACCCTCTCAAATCCTGGCTTGACTGTCTTAGATTCCATTTTTTAAATATATTATCCAAATATATTATCCAAATTATCCAAATCTCACATTCACCTTCCACAATATGCTAAAACCGGTTTGACTCAATGGATAGAGCGTCGGTCTGCAGACTGGAAGGTCCCAGGTTCGATTCTGGTCAAGGGCATGTACCTTGGTTGTGGGCACATCCCCAGTGGGGGGTGTGCAAGAGGCAGCTGATCGATAATTCTCTCTCATCGATGTTTCTAACTCTCTATCCCTCTCTCTTCTTCTCTGTGGGGAAAAAAAAAAATCAATAAAATAAAATAAAAATTTAAAAATTAAAAAAAAAAAAAATAAGAACAACGGGAATAGCTTCACTTGTAGGTACTCACATCCTCTTTGCCCCTTTTAGGACCACTGGGCTAGAATGTGAGGTAGGAACCAGGGGCATGGCCTTTGCGATGGAATAATATTGATACTTTCCTACCGAGGAAGGGAGAGTGAGAGAAACATCAATGATGAGAGAGAATAATTGATTGGCTGCCTCCTGCATGCCCCCCACAAGGGATTGAGCCTGTAACCCAGGCATGTACCCTTGACTGCAATTGAACCTGGGACCCTTCAGTCCACAGGCCAATACTCTATCCACTGAACTAAACTGGCTAGGGCTCTATTTTTTTATAGAAAGGGAGAAGGATTTACTTCATTTACTTCATTGTTGTACAGCGTTAAGCACAGGGCCTGGAATGTAAACAATACTCAAATGTAAATTATTATTGTTGTTAATATCACCACTAATTCTATGTGCAAGTCCTTGTGTGAATAAAGATAAAACGGCTTCCCTTCCCTCCTGGACTGTTGGATATAATGGGGAGCACAGACTTATCAATCAACAGTTAGGATGGCCAACTCATCCCAGGAAATCTTTGGTCCAGACAAACTGGGACAATTGATCACTGTACAATGGGAATGTGCTTGGCAGAATGAATTTGGCTTCATAAAAGACTTGCAAGCCATGTCACAGGTGAGGACAGACTAAATGGGGGACCTGGCATAGCATTCTAACATTTAAGCTTTCCAGAATAATATTAGGATTTCAGTAGAATACACTATCCAAAAAAAAAAGTACTTCAGCATGAAAGTGTGAACAAAGACCCTGAAGTGTGAAGAGCAGGGCACATTCCAAAGGTGTAAAGCAGCTCCCCAATTAATACTCCTGGCACTGTGCTCCTTTCTTTCCTTCAAAACACATCACAATTTGTAATTCAATATTTATGTGTTTGTTTCATATTTTTAAGCTTCAATAGGACAGGGACAAGGTCTGTCTTGTTCAGCCCTGCATGGTGACTGCATATACAAGGCACTCCATGAATATTTACCCAGTAAGTGAATGTGAAAAGCATATAAAGTCATGCCCCCAGAGTGCTGTATAGGTCAAAATGATGCCTTCTATGAAACCAAAAGGCAGTTTTTAAAGCTATTCATAGTCTTGCACTGGCCGGTGTGGCTCTGTTGGTTGAGTATCATCCCGTGCACAGAAAGGCAGCCACTTCAATTCCTGGTTAGGGCACATACCCAGGTTGTGCTTTAGATTACGGTTGGTGTATGTACAGGATGCAACTGACCAATGTGTGTGTGTCTCTCCCTCCCTCCCTTCCTCACTCTCTAAATAAAATTATACACAGTCTTTATTTGCAATTCTTTACACCCAGAATAGAATACAGAACCACCCATCATTCCCTTAAAATTCTTTATTTCTTTCCCATCCATCTCTCAGTTATTCTCACAAACTGCAGCCCTTAAAGAACTCCTAGGGCCAAAACCGGTTTAGTTTCAGTGGATAGAGCGTCGGTCTGAGGACTGAAAGGTCTCAGGTTCGATTCCGGTTGAGAGCATGTACATTGATTGATGGCACATCCCCAGTGGGGGGTGGTGCAGGAGGCAGCTAATCGATGTTTCTCTCTCACCGATGTTTCTAGCTCTCTATCCCTCTCCCTTCCTCTCTGTAAAAAATCAATAAAATATATTAAAAAAAAAAAAAAACTTTTTTTTAAGGCACTGTCCTCCATCCTCCTGTATTGGCCTGTTTTCCTGCCTCCCAGTTTCCTCCCGGTTTTTCATCACAAAAGGCCAAAGACTGCTCTGGAGAGAAGGCCTCAGCTCAGAGAGCCAGCAAGGGGGAAAATTGCAAGTCAGGTTCAAGGGCAGGGAAAAAGAAGATGAAAAATACTTTCTATGGTTGCTCATGCCATCACATAGGAATATATTGTCAATGTAAGAAACATCCAAACCTGTAAAGAATTTTTATAAGATTTTTTTTTTTTTTTGAGCCAAACTGATGACAACTGCCAGGAAGCAAGATCTCTGATGCTCAGGAAAATGACATTTTGGCAGGTGTTTGTGTGTGTGTGTGTGTGTGTGTGTGTGTGTGTGTGTGAATGCATTTAGTTAAAGGGAAGGAGGGAAGGGAAGAAAAATTACATAAAGGTGGGAGAAAGCAAGGCAGGGATTGGATTACAGGATAGTTAACAAGATTATAGTAATATTTGCTTTCTTAGAGGTGATTAACCTTATTGCAAACGTGTGTTAATCTGGATGCCCAAAATACAATAGACAGGGCTTGCTCAAGGAAAAGATAAACCTTTTGCTAAAAATGTTATATGCCTTCCCGGGCCAGTGTGGTTCAGCTGCTTGAAGAGTCATCCATACATCGAAAGGTGGCAGGTTCCATTCCCATTCAGGCCAAATACCAGGTTGCAGATTTGATCCCAGGTTGGGGCACCAACAGATTGATCTCTCTCTTTCTCTCTCTCTCCCTCTTGAGGATTCTCTCTTAAGTCAGTAAAAATTGTTTTAAAAATAAAAAGTTATATGCCTGCCCTAACTTGTTTGGCTAAGTGGATAGAGTGTCATCCTGCAGACGGAAGGGTCCTAGGTTTGATTCCGGTCAAGGGCATGTGCCTTGGTTGTGAGCACATCCCCAATGGGGGGGTGTGCAGGAGGCAGCTGATCGATGTTTCTCTCTCATCAATGTTTCTAACTCTCTATTCATCTCTGTAAAAAATCAATAAAATACATTTTTTTAAAAAAAGTTATATGCCTGAGATGTGACTACTCATTCTAGCCTGTCCAGTTAGGAATTTATGATCAAATCACTCTGTGAGATTATTTTCTATAGAACCCTTTATCGTCCTCAATATGGATTAACACACCGTATTCTTAGTTGTTTATTTACCTATTTTCTGAATGTCTTGGGTGCTCAGTAAATACCCACTGAATGAGTGATTAGTAAATAGGGTATCTAGCAGGTTGCAGCAAGAAATACAGCTAGAAAAGTTGGAAAGGGCTAGTTAGGAAGGATCCTGCTTAGATAGGTGAATTTTACTGTATTTTATAGATATAGATGTAGATATAGGTCTATTCCAAAGTTCTATGTCTATATCCTATATAATAAAAGCCTAAAATGACAAGCACTGACCACCAGGGTGCAGATGCTCAATACGGGAGCTTCCCCCAGTCCATAGAACCCGATCAGCAAAGGCGGGGACGGGGGAGAGGGCAGGGCCAGGCCAGCCAAGGCAGATGCCAGTGGGACCCCCCGCCCCCAATTGCCTCGCTGGTCACCCCGAAGATCAGCCCAGTTCACCAGCCAGGCCTAAGGACCCTATCCATGTACGAATTTTGTGCACTGGGCCTCTAGTGTGTATATAGTTTAGTAATATGTTTCCCACACCAACCAGTAGGCTTGTCCTGGCCTAAGCATTTATACAACACTTCCCCACTCCCACCTCTTTAGTTCATATTTGTCTAGTTCTCAAAAATCTGCTTGTCATGGTTCATAGACACAGAAAGTACTCTGGGTTTCAAATCCTTGGTGCTCTGTGTTCTCTCAATGTTTTCTTTCTTAAATGTGAAAAGAGCCT